TTGCTAATGGGTTTTTTTTTTTTTTTTTTTTGACAGTATAGGACTCTTTTGTTATCATAACAGGGTTATTAGCACCGTGTCCGCTCATACATCTGATGGATCTGGATTCATTCTTAAAGTTGAAGCCTTGAGCTGCTGTGTAGCAACAGGCATCCTGTGTGCTTCCATCAGTCATGCATGCACTTGGTTAGACAGGTTGATGAGATTATATAATGGAGCAGATACAAGTGTAGGCAAATTTTCTTGTAGCTCAGTCCAGGGTTCGGCAACTGCTGACTCAGCTAAGTCAAAGCTCCGGCACTCCTCTAGGATTCCAAGAGAGGAAGAGCTCCACTTCCCTACCCCCTTCCAAATTTAAGAGCCCAGAAAGCCCAAGATCTCCCATTAATGCTGGTCATGTGACTTGTCTTTCCTCAGGTGGCAGTGGCAGGAATACTTCCCCTTTGTCCCCTTAGAGCTCAATACAGTGGTGAAGGATGGGCTCAGGGGCGGGCAAGCATTCAATCCACACTCTTTTGTTTTGCTGCACAGTGTCTTTTGAGGCCAAACAAAATGCGGGGTTTACTCATTATCTCCATTTTAAATGGGCTATTTAGGACAGGCCGTGTCAAAGTCAGAGGCTTAGAGATAAATCACGCTGACAGCTCTTTTCCCCCAGTTGAACTTGCGGTTGTGCTGGTGTCAGTTGAGTCTTTGTCAAAATTTCACTTTCATTGCAATGGATGGACTACTGCAGGTAGTCTGTGTTTACCACCCAAAAATGCCAATTATAATTTAATAAAGCGCCTGTGAGTCACTCTGATTTACTAAGTCTGGTCTAAATCAGCAGTTGCTTGGAAAATTTCACAGTCAAACTCAAACCCAGCATTTAGACAAATGTCTGACTGAGTGAAATGAGTGCATGAAGCACTAATGAATGCCCTGATTGGTTCATGTGGTGGTTTACAGCAGCCGTCACACTGAATGCGCTGCAATATACCCATTGGAGAGGAGGTGAGAAGAGCTCCACACAACTTGATTAAAACAACTGTTGACCGTGTCTGTGGTAATGAACTGGAACGTCAGTCACATGGCTCAGTGAAGCAGGAACCCGGGCCAGTAAAGGAAGATATCAGATAATGGAGTCATTTATAATAAAACCATGTTAGTATTTTATGACTTGTTGGAAGTCGTCTGGTCTTAAAAATAGCATTTTTAAGCCAAAATGATCAAATGTCTGTATGAAAGCGAGAGACCTAGAATCCTAGGTTCACTGTTGACTGTTTCTTCCCTGCTGGCAAGTACATGTGAGTTCACTTGCTGTTTACCTGACAAATTCTTGCAAACATTTCAGCAAGAAAACAAACACAGAAGCCTTTGGATGCTGCACAAATCATACTGACTCTACATGTTGAAGGCCAGAGCAAAATATTCTTGCATTTTCCACCCATTAGAAACAGTGAACAGTTTCCTGCTACTACAGATAGCCAATTGTCTTTCCCATTAAAAGTCAGGTAATTAAAGGTGTTGCAGAATTTCCGCTACCCCAGAAAGAGAAAGTTTGAGGAGTGTTTTCAACCTGACTCAAGAAAATACAGTGTAGACTGAGGTCATGTCAGCCTTAAGTCCTTCCTCTCTTGACAAAGTCATGCCAACTGTGATCACTGGGCTGTAATAAGATACAGTTCCCCAACATCTGCCAGCGCCTGTTGATTTGTGGTCCATTTCTGTTTATTTATTTTGACCAGATGAGCCTCCTGGTATTTATAGCAGGAGTAAAAGCCTAATGTGGGGTCAATCCTGGGTAAGGGCTATGGAGACAAAATGCCAAAGCTGACCTGACATTCTTGTCGGGGATAGATCCTTCCTGGTTCTGGAGTCTCTCCCACACACACACACACACACACACACACACACACACACACACACACACACACACACACACACACACACACACACACACACACAAACAATAAAAAGCTGGGTGTGGCCGTGAGAGATTGAGTTGAGCATAGGATAGAAAGTTTGATTTAAAGACGTGTGCCCCCCTCCCCTCTCTTTGCTTCATTCTTTTTGAAAATGAAAACTTCCACATGACACAGTGCCCATGCAGGATGTCTTAACGTGCTGGGGGTCACACGTGGCAGGGCGCTGCGGCTGTGTGGCAGCGGGGAAATGTAGGCCCTCTCCTTTGTCATCTCCTCCCAACACACACACACACACAGAGAGCTCTGCAGGCCTCCAAGAGCATCTGTCACCACGGGGGGTCAGCAGGGCTGTAATGAATGAGCCCCCAGTGGATACCCTCCCTCTTTGGCAAATGGCGTGGGACGGAGGAAGGCCTAGGGGGAGGTCTCTGTGTGTGTGTGTGTGTGTGTTTGTTTGCATGGGAGAGAGAGAGAGAGGAGGGAGGGTTTCTGCTGCAACAAGGGAAAGAGTGGGATTTCCAGTTCTCTGTAGAGGATAATGACAAAGGTGGCTACCAGAAAGGACTGAAACTCCATATGCTGCCTGGATATCAAAAAATAAAAGGATTTACTATTTAACATGGATGATATTTGAACAGGTGGCTTCACGTTTGGGATTTACTACATTTGATTGGAATTTTAAGCTGCTCGAGGAGTCATGGAAGGTACAGCAGAAGCTTCTTAAAACTGTGCTGTGGGTCACATGTGGCCCTGATTCAGCATTATTGGTACAGGTTTTTTTTAGCACCTCACTCAGTTTGTTTTATTCTCACCGCCCCCCTCTCCAGCCCCCATCACTTTTTCTGTCATGTCAGAGAATGTGTCCTTTTTAATGTTAAGTGTGTGTTGAAATTTTTCCCAAATTTGTGCAACAGCGAGGTGTAAATAAATATTTATGAAATTCCCCTTAAAACTGGCTAATTTCATTCAAACCCTGAATTAACTCATTTTCAGCTAGCTGCGTTTGTTTGATTAGCAAACATCAAATAAAGGCCAAGTGTCAAGTTTAATTGCTTGATATCAACATCTTTTCCTTTTTATAAATGCAATGTTAGACAAAACACATTACCTTGCATTTGTTTGACTTTCTTGCAAAGCATATGCTAAATCACAATGTTATTAAAATGGGTGGAGGGTAAGCAAGTTTAATCCTGCCTCTTTCCCTCTGTTTAAACATTGTAATGTAATTATGCAGCTGAGCAAGAAACAAAAGGAGCCTGCAGAGAAAGAAAATGCCAGGTCAAAAGTAAGATTGGTTCAGTTTGATGAACTTTTGATCTGACTTCTTTTCAGGGTAAAGCTCTGATATGGTTTTGATGTTTAACGGATCACATATTGTGTAAGAAGAGATTTCACAAATAGCGCATCAACTACAACAAAACATGAGATGGGAACATTAATTCTAAGCAAGCTTTACTTATTTTTGTGTGAAGTTGTCAAGAGGAGAATCTCAGTTTAGCTTTGTAGTGTACTCACCAATTGAAGAAAATTCACACCTCTTAGTTAATGTTGAATTTCCCTTTTTTAAACTGAATGTAGTAAACAAGATTTCATTTTCAAGATTAAAAAAGGTTTTGGCTGCAGTTTTTTTTTTTTCAACATTTTTTCAAGACTGCACATGAAGTTGACAGATCAAAGTAAAATTTCTTAAACAATTATGCATTTTTTTTTACCTAAATTATTATTTTTTTTATATATGCATTTTTGTATCAACCTATCTAAACAGAACATATTGCCATTGTATTAATAATGGATGTATAATTTATAGTTGGGTTGTGCTTGCATGCATTTAAGAAGCATTGTCATTAACCATTAGCTTAATCCTGTCCCACTTTCAAGAAATTTGCTTAAGAAAGAAACTAAAACAGCACTTAAGTCTGAATATTTTCTCACGTTACATCACTGGAAAAACAGGACTTTATTATGTAGCACCTCGGGCTTGTCTTGTTTTTGTGTCTAAATTTATGGCTTCTTCAGCTTCATCTCCAGAGTCATCTCTGCCTCCTGTTGTGATGTCTACCCGTCACAACCAGATAAGCATCAAAATATTTAAAGACTCTGCTCCCTGGGTAATTAGCCGGTTGCAAGAGCTTAGGTTTGAGTTTTACATCAACAGCTGCGGGAACACTTGTGGGAGGACAAAACATAAACCAGAGTTGTATTTCAATTTTCTTTCCACCTTGAATGTTTTTTGGTAGGCAGTTCTGTTGCATTGGTGTTACAGGCGGATACGCTTCTGCTTTATGACACGCTGATGTTTTTAAGTCTCTGATGCACTGTGTCACGCTGGCTAATCATTCACAAAATGGGTAAATATAAGTTGAACCAGCTTGTGTGCACTTTCTATTTGAAGGACTTGGACCCCAGACAAGCTACTACTTTTTTTTTTTTTGAACAGAATATCTGTACAGTCAGAGGTGATGACTGGGTAGATTTTGGCTGTCAATGTTTTGAAAGGAACTTTGCTTCTGTTATATCAAAGCCTGATTGGCTAAACAATACTTTGTCAAAGGGTCAAAGTAACTTAAAGCCATTCAGAGGGTATTGACTGTGTGTTGAGTGCTGCAGCAACACCCAGTTGTACTTTATGAAAATGGCCTCGGGGCTGGGGAAATGTAATAGTGGGCTTTCTACACATGCCACAGGCTGAGCTGGACTTAATGTCCGAGTGGCTAAAAGTGCCCTCATTCATTTTGTGAATGAGCATGCCCTTTGGACTGTGGGTATTAGTTGCAGCTTAAATCATTTTGGGGGGCTTTCCAAACAGCTATAGTTTTTTTCCCTCAAATTGCCAAAAAGTAGACTCATCAATTATATTTTATTAATTATTTAGTATAAAGTAAATACACTGGATATAATTGTTTATTTTTAGTGTGTTTGTTTAAACATTATAGATGTTTTGTGGGGGGTTTGTCTGTAACTTGTATGTTCTTTTTATGAACATCCAGATTTAACATTCAAGCACAGAAAGTATAATTTCGACTATCTGGAGAAACCCTTAGCATAGTTAAACACTCTGAGCTAATCTTCAATCCTCCTGCTGCTTTCCCTCAGGTCTTCAAGCAACGAGGGAGTGACATGCCTTTGATGGAAATTTCTGCCGAGTGATAGCGATCCAGCATGTAGCAGAGTCCTGTCACACCTGGGAACAGTCTGACTGCGTAAGTCAGCCTGTTTTTTTTTAAATTTATTTTTTTATGTGCTGCCAATGTTTCCTCTCTGAGAATTTCAGATTTCACTCTCTGCAGCTCATTTTGTCCGTAGTGGTCTTCTCCAACCCTCTGAGTGAGGATTAGATTAGCTTTTTCTGACCCAGGGTCACATTCATGCAATCTGTTGATGCCACCCAGGAGCTGTGGAATGGCCTTGACTGACCATCTGACAGCCTGAAAGGCGGTTTTAAAGTCACCATTCATTGACGTGACTTCCCAGCGTTGGCCATTAGTCTTTGAACATTAAACTGCTTCTTCTGCTCATTATGTTTAACCATCCATCAGGCACACTTCAGCTGCTGACTGACCTGAAATACCCTCCACCACTGCAGCTGACCTTAGCAACCACCTGAGTCACAACATCCGTTAAGTGACCCCTACCACAGTCACGCTTTGTTTTAAGTTGCACAGGTGATAAAAGGTCATTTTTGGCATTCACCTCGCCCAGGCTGGGTTAATGACAAATCTGTCCAGTGGGGCTTCACACTCAGCCAGGCAAAGAAGTCTCCGGAGCCTGTTTTGACATTCAAAACAAACAGGCAATGGCTACAAATGTCCTCAGGCACCCAGCTTCTTTCTTTCTTTCTTTCTTTCTTTTTTCTTTTAGCCATTAGTCATTGTTTCTCTGTGCAGCCACCTTCTTCCATCAGTTAAGCAAGAAGTACTGTAGCTTCGTTCTCTTAAGCTGCTTATCTCTTCCACAGCACAGTCAGGCACTGTTAATCTTGTCTTTTGTCTGGGTTGGTCACATTCCTCCCCAGGAAGGTTGTTAAGTAAACACTGAGTCTGAAACCTGTCCAGGCACGGACAAAATTGCACCTTCAAGGCAAACTGCAACTTAATTTCCACCTTACCTCTTATTTACAATATTATAAACAATGTTAGGAGTTTCTTTGTTTTGTGTGAAAACTGTAGATATTTATTCACTGACTGATATATTCAGTCAGTCATAATTAGTACTTTTTGTTTATTTTGTTACTTACACGCACACACATCTAAAGCACATACTGTTGTCATGTCACAGCTGTGTGGGATCTCAGACCTTAATGAGGAGTTTTTCCTCCAAACAGCTGAAGGCTAAACTGGTCAAATGTAGTCCAAGGACAAACATGAGGCATTTCAGGCCAAACCCGTCTTTCAAGAATGTGTTTTCCACACTTGGAGTCCTTTCTGTTTCTCCTGCCCTCTGTTTTCTTCTCTTGCTGGCTTCTCTGAGACCACATGCTCAGCCCTCTGTCCAGCTGCCACCTGCTAGCAAAGAGTCGGCCAACCACGGGCCCACGCGGCCGACCTCGGCAGATGTCACTGAGTGGACACTAGGAAGGGGGTGGGTGGGAGTGCAGGCAGAGTAACGGCAAAGAGCAAAAGAGCGAGGCCAAAAAGGGATAGGAAAAAAGGATTGGCCTTGGCCATTATGTTTTGACTGACATCGACAAAGTAAAGTGCGTGCGTGCGTGCGTGCGTGGTTTGTGCTACTACTGACACTGTCTAGTAGACTAAACATTTTTATCATTAACAGGAAAGATCACTGCAACTAAACATTATTTTAACATTTGATATGTGTCATGTTTTTTTTTAATGATTGACTTCAAATGTAGGTTTTTTCTGAGAACTGAGCAAAGTTTGCACATTTTTTGTAGAAAAATTAACGTTGTTCACATCATGTAGATTTTAGCATCCAGTTCGGGGTTGTGGTTGGATGGAGCCTGGATCTGTTGGATTTAACTTTTATAAAGGTCTAAAATATAAAACGTGGGTCATGCTTTATGTCTGTGATGAGCTAGGAGATTCATCCTGCATTTTAGGCTTGTGCAGCTTGATGCATAAACCCATATTGGTTCTGAAATATTTAAGCTGGTTGCGCCGGGTGGTAGTTGATTAGCAGTTTTCAATAAAAACAAAATTTGACTCACACCATCAGAGCACAGTAGTGTTTATTTCAAACATGAATACATTTTCTTCAGAGATCTGTTGCTTTTTAGATTTTGGCTCTCTGTTGAGCTCGCTATTAGCACACAGGAAATAATCAATAACTTGAGATGAGAAAAACCATGACTGTGTTCATTTCCTCATGCTGCTCTTTTCTCTCCCCTTCTCTCTGCTCCCACAGATAATGGGGAATTCATACGCAGGGCAGCTGAAGTCTGCCCGATTTGAGGAGGCTCTCCACAACTCGATTGAGGCGTCCCTGCGCTCGAGCAGCGGGAATCCACAACCCATCTTCACACAGCTGTACTTAGAGCCTGAGACGTATCCTGGTAACATGGAAGGTAAGAAGCTTACAGCAAGCTGGAAAAAATCAGTTTGAACTATATTGAGATCATTGGACAGCTTTAGAGACTTAGCCTTATGTAGCATATATTTACATTTTGTCAGAGGGTTCACTAAACATTCCACTTTTCTGTTGAAGTATTTCTTAAAATGCAGTTAAATTTTTAGTAAAAATAATCTTACATTTTTGTAGCTGATATGAAGTCGAAAGCTGGCGTAGCACTCCATGGCAGGGAGCACCCAGGGCACGAGCTTGTGAATGGCAACTCTTCCAACGATCTGGAGGAGCTGGAAGACGAAGACGACTCGGACACCAGCAGCCCTCCACTTCCCTACCTGCAAGCTCCTGCACCGGATGGCTGCTGCACCCTGGATGGTATGACCTCTATGCATCCATCCATCCATCTATTCATTCTCTTTTGCTTATCAAATCCCACCCCCCTGGGGCATTTCTGTGTGGAGTTTGTATGTTCTCCTCGTGTCTGTGTGGGTTCTGTCCGGGTCAAGCAGTTAGTGAGGTTAGGTTTATTGGTGATTCGAAATTACTCATAGGTGTTAATTTGGCATGTGAATGCAAACGTTGTGAATTCATTAGTATGATCTCAGCAGTGTTGTGTTGTGTTGTGTTGCTGTTCCAGAATTTTTAACAAGCATGTCAGAAGTATTACATTTTTGTAGAAACTTTATTTGTTTATTATTACAGATATCATCTCTTATTCTACTGTTTACTTAAAAAAAAATTTTCCTCCTCCTCATCTCTCAGGCTTCTGTCAGGCCGGGAAAGACCTCCGCCTAGTCTCCATAGCAACAGAGCCCATCGAAGTCCCAGCAGGCTTCGAGCTGGTCGGTGCCAAGTCCCCCACTGTTCCTGAGCACATCTTGGTGTGCGCCGTGGACCGGCGTTTTTTGCCTGACGAGAATGGGAAAAATGCACTTTTAGGTCAGTGTGTTCCCGAGCGTTCAGATCAAGTAAATGAGCCAGAATTGACGTAATGAGCCAAGTTCCTGCTGAACTGAGCACGCTCTGTTGCTAGCTGGCACAGGTCATGCATTAGCCTGCAAATGTTTGGAAAGCAATGTAATTGTTGCGTTTTTATGTCTTTTGCAGGTTTTTCAGGAAACTGTGTGGGCTGTGGTGAAAAGGGATTCAGATACTTCACCGAGTTTTCCAATCACATCAACCTGAAACTTTCCACACAGCCCAAAAAGCAGAAGCACTTAAAATACTACCTGGTGAAGAATTCTCAGGGTGCTCTGTGCAAAGGACCCCTCATCTGCTGGAAAGGTAAATATACACTACAGACTCCAGACTTTCTAAAGATGTATGTAAAGTATATCAAACTGTTTTCTTACACTGCATTTTGTGAGGGTTTGATGAGTTTTGTTTGTTTGTTTTTCCTTCCTTCCTCTGTTTCTTAGACGGTAAAACGCGTCAGTTTCTCAGCAGCGCATCAACCTCCAAACCCGGCTCGTCGTCTTCTCTTAGCAGTAAAGAAAATGGAGGTCCCAGCGGACACAGCTCCTCTCCTTTTTCCCTTTCAGGTGAGATTATACTGCAGTGCTGCCTACGTTTTTACACAGCAGAGTTAAACCTGCAAGTCAGCAGCTGAAATTTAACAATAACTCAAGTAAGTTGCATTAATTGTGAGTGTGTAAAGTTTAAAAAAGAAATTAACAAATTTCACCTACTCTTGTTTAATAAGGTTGTTTTTCCTTTTTCTTCTTCTTCACCGGATACCCTTCCTGACTCATCCCCTTTTGTCTCCTCCTGGGAATGAGCCAGGCATCTTAGGCAAATGTTTAAAGCACTACACTATGATCGTATAACATGTAAAAATGGCTGTAAAATTAAAGCCAGTGAGGAACTCTTATAGATTTTATGTATGTTTAAAAAAATAAATACACACAGGAAGTTGTTTTATTACCCCCTTTTACAAAAAAATACAATACGAAGATGTTTCATGATGTTTCTCATTTAGCAGCTTAAATCTCACCTCAAACTCCAAGTCAGCAAGCCTTGCTTCTTACTCAATTATTATTGTTTTGCTTATTTATGTATGATCATTATTTTGGCACAAAGACAGCAAAAGAGACAGAAACTGAGAGAAACTTGAACGATGTGGCTAAACTGAAAGATTAATTAGCACAGCAGGATGCTAAGGCCACCCAGAGAGTTTCATCTCCCATAGCTGGGCATGGTTTGTCGTGTTTTTTTGGTCCTGTCAAACTTACACTCAAACAGATTGATCAGAGGTTCAAATTTAATGGATGGATAGATGTTAATTCACAGTAAGATAATCTGTCGCACTTTCAGGGAAGTTTATAAACTGTGTAAATAAGTCTGGACTTCAGGTCATCAAGTGTAGCGTAATAATGACAGTATACATTTATCTATTCCACGAAAGTGATATTGTTTTAGCTGATTATATACTGACAGCTTGTGCTGTTGCTATAGGTTTTGGTTGCTAAGCTCTGAAATTTAAGAGTTGAGCTTGAAACACCATCTTGCTGCATTAAGCTATTTATGAGGCTTTGTTCGTCGTGTGCCACTGCATTTGGTTGCGGCAGTGCTTTGATGTGTATTCTGGCTGCATAGTGACATTTTATTAGAAGTAAATTAGAAATAGTAAAAGTTTGTTAGTTTTTAGTACATTTTAACAAGATTTTTCAGTTTACCACGATGGCTAACTAGCTAATGCTTACTTTTGTTAGTGTATCTGTTCCAGTCTACAGATTCTGATAAATTTTGCTTGATTCGGATTATTTTTCATAATCATAATCATAATCATAATATTTTTAATATCCGAAGCTAAAATTTCACTGAAATCTTTGGAAACGTTCGAATTTTCCACCCTAAAAATAGTATTCAAATCGGAGACAGTCAAGGAGAAGGCTTGGTTTATTTTATGCTTTTGAAAAGCATCCTCTTATCAACTTGGCTACTTTTTTGGTAATGCAGGTGAAAATAAATGCAGGAATTTAAAAGCAACACAACTAAAAAAAGCTCTGGTTATTTATAGAAAGACCATGTTGACTCTTCAAGGAGATGTTGTTCTTCTTTGACCTTTCACAGCGAGAGCGCTTGTTCCTTCTATGATTGGAAAACCTCCTGGGCTTATAGTATTGATTTGTTCTTAACCTGGATGCAGCTTGTAAGCATGGCTCTTGCACATTAATATAGACAGCTGTGCTGCAGGGCTATGTATCGGCATTACTCTCGCCTGATGTCTCGTGACTGCGACCTTCAGGTACATCCTTCTCCTTAAGAGGTTTTTGACACTCATGCTTTGAAAGCCCAGAGGGTAGAATTCATAATAATTCACTTCACTGTCTCCCACTCAGGTGACTGTGTATTCTAGAGTAATTGATGAGAAGGACAGTTATAGTCTGTTAATAATTGTACAGTTGACAGTTCATACTGACACAGATCTCATAGTTTGACATTTGTTTGAAGGCCAAAGGCAACAAAATGACCAATCACAGGAACGGTGTGTGTGTGTTAAAGCCACAATCCTGAGTTATAAGAAACATTCGTATGAAGTCGGTGGACAAGGGAACCATGTATCATTGGGTGCATAGTAGCTGTGTTTTGATATTGTAATGCTTTTGTTTTTATCTACAGATTCTCCACCTACCAGAACAACGCAAGCATCCTCTGTCTTTTTTGGGAACCAGGAATGTAGTTTCCTCAAACCACTGGCCTCCACACCTGGAAACAAGACTCTACCAATAGGTGAAGAGTTTGATTGGTACATTTATAGCTGCGCACGTCAGTTTGTTCTGTATGTGGTAGGAAATAAACACGATAACATAAAAACTGTAGTCCCACATAGCTGATGTATCCATGCTTCAGTGCTGGAATTTAAATTTTAGCTCCTGGCAAAACTTTACCTCAAGCTTTGTGTAAAAAAACAAAAAAACACTTCATGAATATAAGATTGATTTATGCTACAGACTGCTTAGAAACACACAGATACATGCATGTGCTTACTTACCAGTCAATGCTGGAGGAAGAAATGCTATAATGACTTTTTAAGGCCTTGCTATCTATTAGCTCCTTTACAAGGTTGCTATATTGACAGGCTAAGGGTACGCATAGCAATTGATGGTTTTGTGTGTTGCATACACTGTGAATATGAGATGGGAACATGGCCAATTGCTACAAGAGTGCACGTATAGGAAATCAATAGCCTGTCGTTAGTACTGACTTATTTTTATTTATTGGTTACTCTGCAGACAGTTATAGTTCGGGGGAAATATTTTTATATTTGCATATCACTTGTTCGCTTTTTCGTTTTCCATTCAACTTTTTGTAGCATGCTGGCAGTTAGCCACTGTGCTGCAGGCTGAAATATCGCAACATGGCACCATTGTGTAAGGAGAGCAGGGAGGCAGACCAGCATAGTGACAGAAACTGGAAAGGCAGGAGCAGTTTTAAGGTGGATTATTGATAAAAGCACAAAGCTGAAGTTTGCTGGCAGGTTGGCAGTTAGACAAAACAAGACAGGAGAGCAGAGATCAGAGTCCACAAAGCATGGAAGTGGTCAGGTACAGGTCCAAGCAGGTCAAAACAGGTTGGGGATGATTTCAAAACACACAAAGATAATCTAGAGATTGTAGCGTAAATGCTGCAGGAGTTAAAAGCATGGTTAGAGGTGAGCAGGTGAGATTTGCAAGCATGTAAGGTAGATTTGGTGTGTGACTGCATGCAGACGACTTAAAGAGTAAAGAAATCTCAGACGAGGCTTTAGTTTATAACTAGATGGCTAGAATGAGTCAATCAGTGCTTTGAGTTTAAACATTACACCAAAAAGAAACAACGTGTCAGCGTTGTTATTGTGAGCTTATTAACTCGGTAACGTTGCAGTTTCACAAACTGTATTAATGCGTAATCTGTGTTTCAGTACCCACAGCTCTTCGGGTGAATGTGCCAACAAATAGCCTGGCTGTTGATGGGCGCCCTCCATTACTCAGCCCCTCCCAGGTGTCCTTAGGGCCTCATGGTCAGGGGTATCGCACTGCTGATTTAGGAGATAGTCCCGGTAGGATCCTTTCTGAATGCGTACTGTGTGTTATTTTTAATTATTTTCTGTATTGACATTTTTTCTTACTTGTCTGTCTTTAATGTTTAGTATTGTCTGCTATGAACTCCGGCCCTCCAAAGAAGCGCCACCGGAGCTGGCATCCCAGCTCGTTGGTGCCAGTCCCGCCAACAGCTGTCCCCGTGCCAGCTCTTCGGCCAATAGTTTGTTCTCCAGGTTTGTTTGTTAAGCCACCTTCAGGGGGGTGGGGGGAGGGGGAGGCTGAGCAGTTTATTTTCTTCTGGGTTTTAAATTTATCCTGTTATGCCATGTGTTCCTTTTTTTTTTTTTATCCATTAACGCTGGATTGGTGAGCATGTGTGTGCAAAGGAGTGTGTGCAGAGAAGTGTCTGCACACACTCATTCCCCATGCCTCTGTTTGAGGATGAGTATGCACTAATGTCCCTGACGCTCTCTGGTTGTTAAGGATGATTCACCCAGCATTGCCATGGTGATAGAGCTGGACAGTTTGTAGGGCAAGTGAATTAAAAAGAATTGCACGATTAGATTATTTCTGCCACATCGTGTACTGACAGAAATAATAAAAAGGCAATCTGGGCAGAAGGGCCAGAATGAACAGGGTGTACATGGTTGCTAATAAAATAACCAACAAAAATTGTTCTTTTGTTCCACTAAATCAGCCACTGCAGGAATTAGGATGTGCACATTTTTTTCTCCATAAGAGGAGCATCATTAAATCAGTGTTGTGTTCTGGTGAGATCACCAGGATAAAGCTATCCAGCTGTATGTGTCTGTAAATATGAACATAATGTTATGTCTTCACTAAATGTCTCACATCCATCCAGTTTACATGTAAATATAAACATCTCTTTAAAGAAAGTATACAGCGCATAAGGAGCTTATTTTACTAATATTAGTCAATTAATTTGAAGTTTTCTCTTTAAAACAATCAGTCTTATTTGTATACAGGTTAGTTACAGATAATTAGCAGGCAGATAGTAAGACAGCAACTGGTAAAAAGAGAAGACCAATTTAAGACAAAGTTTAAAAAGTATCCCCTAAGTGTACATAAGTGAAATAAAAGCAGTTAGAAAGATGAGTAATTGCAAAGCATCATAAACTAGTACTAATAAATTAGAAAAAAAATGCTGACAAGAAGTCAGTAAAGCAAGTGATAAATAAATATTCGATAAAGTAACTGTTTATAATTACGCAATCCTTACTATTGACTTACTAATCTGAGAGTAAAAGTCTGTGGTTATAGATACAATTAAGTAAATAAAACGAATCTCTATAGAGCATCGGCAGTCAAAACGTTAGGCTTTAGGTTTATATTTAAAGATTTCAGTACATCTAGCTGCTTTCAGGTATGTCACCAGACTGTTCCGGCGGTTCAGGCCATGAAAGCTAAAAGCTGCCTCCCCAGAGGTTTTTGTCCTGCACTATGGAACAACTCCTGACTCCTGAGGAGCTGAGGGGACTTAATAGTTCTGACATTAGATGCACTGGAGACACATACCCTGAAGTGTTAAAGTATACAACAACACTGAAAAAGACAATGAGCAAAAATATGTTTTTCTTACCTTCTGACTTGGTTAACAGGAACTGGGACTTTTTAAAAAATGTTTTCTTGACTCACAGCCAGTCAGCGTGTTTCTGCATCCTTGTTGTTATTGGTATCTCAGAAGCATTGTCTGCATGGTGAAACATCTCCTAAACTGTAACTATGACTAAAGTTTATACTGACACGTAATTGCTTTATCATCCATAAGGGCCGGTATTAGGAGTAGCCTCTCCTCAACCACCTGTAATAGGCGTCATTCAGCCCCAGCCCGTCACCATTGGAGAGACGGTCATCGTGCCCGACAACCTACTCAACTCTGCAGGAGTCCGACCTGTCATCCTCATTGGTACCAGTTTTAATTCACTGATATGTTTCTTCATATTAAACATCACCTTTCAGCGCATATAAAACCCATTTTAATGCAAATTATTGTATTTTTTGTTTGCTTAAACTGTAAAAGGCCGTAAAAAATCTGTGTGATGCATTTTTGTGGATCTTTTTAAATCTTGATGCTCGTCTGCATACCTTGGTTGTAACGAGTGGTTTTCTGAATATCTATTAGCTTCTATTAGCTCAAATGCATACACTCACTGGATGTGGGGGTTTTTTTGTTTTGTTTTTTTCTTATTTGGACAATTGTTTGTAAACCCTAGAGATGGTTGTGTGGAAAATTTACACTTAATTTCTGTAGGTTTCTGAAATGCTCAGACCAGCACGCCCAGCACCAAAAAACCATGCCAGATTCAAAGTCACTTAAATCCCTTTTCTTCCCCATTCGGATCAGTCTGAACTTAAGTGGGTGCCATGTGATGACCTGTTAGATTTTTTTTTTTTTTTGCCTTAAACAGTAGAACACGTGTACCTAATAAAGTGGCTAGTGGGAATAAGGTCTGCTTAGTTTTATTTATGTATTCATTGAATCTTTATTTAATGACAAATTCCCCTTAAGATTAACAACTATTTTTCAAGGGAGACCTGACCAAGACGGCAATGTTACATCAAAAAAACGACTCAGTCAAAATAATAATTAGCTTCTTACAAAGTTTTATAGCTCAAATGTTAAATGTTTTACACATCTTAAGTGGGCTTTTTTTGTTTGTTTGTTAGGGGTTTTTTTTCTGGTTCATCTAATGCCAAGTTTTTGTTTTTAGGCCATGGCACTTTACCTTACTTCTATGGAAATGTTGGGGACATAGTGGTGAGCCCCCTGCTGGTCAGCTGCTATAAGAGCAGCCAACTGTCAGATAAAACCCTGGAGGCTCTGGGCCTCAACAGCAGCCGGTTACTCAGCGTGGAGACGATGATTCTGCTCACTTTACAGTATTTTGCACGTTTAGGTAAGCAGCCTACACAATCACTGCTAGATGTGTGTGTTGCTGATTCATGCCAGTGTTTTTAGGTTTTCATATTTGAATTTTCCTCTGGAGGTTCAGAGCAGATTCCTCTGAGGGAGGAGCTGGAGCAGATAGTCTTGAAGGCCATGCTGTGCTGTCCCAGGGGACCTGCCATCTCCCCCCTCCAACTACCCTGGCTGGCTCGGCTGGAAGCGAGCGTGTCTGGCGGCAGCGTCCAAGTGGTGGTCACAAACAACTCTTTGGGCGAAGGCATCTCTGAGTCGCTGCGCTCTCTGGCTGAGGGTCCTCCTCAACAGCAGTGCCTGCCAACCTATGTGGTCATTATATGCGCCTCTAAGATGAGCGGCAGCGAGTTCTGTGTGATTGTGTTGGGTGAGTGTCATCTTTGTGGTGAAACTTGTGTGGGATGCAGTATCTAGACTGAACTCTAATGTAAATTTACCTGTTGGATTCAGGAAAGTATCAAGCGCGGGCCTTAGCAGAAGGGATGCTCACAACCAATGAATTTCTGAAGGAAATCAGCTACGAGCTCATCACGGGGAAAGTCAGCATCTTGACATCTCATTTCAGAACCACCTCTCTGGGTAAGATGAGTATCCATAAGTTGTGTTCATTAAAATAATCTTGAGAAAAATACTAATTTGTCTTTTACTAATCATTTTTGTCTTGATTGGCAGCAAAACAACAGTTACTGAGCCACATTAAAAGTGAGCATGATCAGCAAATGCAACAGTGTAAAGGAAGGCCTGTATTTGAATTAATGTTGTTTAGAATTGAGATAAACATCAACTAAAACCTTCACTGCTAATAATAAAAAGCACGACGGTGGTGGTGGTGACAAATTCACTCTGATATGTTTGATAGCGAGTGCACAGCCTGCTCCCGTCCCTCGCTCTGTGTGACTGTGGTGACTGCTTGTTTCCAGGGGACAACCTCGACAAACAGCTGGTGCGATACCAGCGCAGGCGGAAAGGACAGGTCATCCAGCCCTTTCAGGGCGATGTCACTGACAACATCCACTCCCAGGAAGCTGCCAGCATGTCACCACCATCAGACTCAGGTTAGACCGCTCTCATGCTCGCTGTCAAAGTCTTTTTCAGTTTTTAGCAGGCAAATTGAAGACGAGGCAGCAACATCTCTCTAAATCAGCATGTGGATCATTCAGTGTCAATGTTAAGTCAGGCCAGTGTCCAGAACAAAATCAGTTAAGGTTAGTTTGAGCTACGGAGTGTTTTTTGGCCCTGTACCTCATCCCACAGCGAGCCACACCTCTTAAACTTTGAATTCAGTCTTTTTTCTTTTTTAAGTCCCATTATCGCAGGTGTATAAAATCAACCATGTAGATCTACACTTATTTTCCTTTTCGTTACCGTGTGTGTGACTAATCTTACTGCACAGTTTAATCGTTCTGACTGGATCTCGTCTCTCCAGATTATTTTCATCTCGTTGTAATTTGTTGACAAAAGGGTGGCTACAGTACGTGTGCAGGTTGAGGGGACTGCTGTTGTGATTTGGCACCATTTAAAAAAGATCGAAATTAAATTTCATCATAGTTTGTTTTGGGGAGGTTTGTTTAGGCAAGCAGTGATACTTTGCTGTGGTTAGGATCTGCTTTTCACATATCTGTAAATCATCCTGGTGCTAACTTTTGTGTTTCTTCTTTCAGATCTTTTTACAAAGGGCTTCCAGATCTATCCGGCCCAGCTTAATGTGGCTCGTAGCCTTCTTTCTCAAGTGTGCTCCATCGCGGATTCAGGGACACAGAACCTCGATTTAGGGCGTTTTTGCAAGGTGGACTTTCTGGTTTTGGTCCCTCCGTCTCACATTCTGGTCCACCAGACAGCACAACGCATCCGACAATCAGGTGTGTACAAAACCCAAAGGAAGAACTGTTGTTGTTTTGTTGCAGTGCTGTATGAAATCCTCACGTTTTTGCCTTAGGTGTACTTGTGGACCTGGGAAATGAAGACCCCTCCACGGCCCACCTGAAGTCAGACAAATATGTGGTGCGTCTTGACGGTGATGTTCACGCCAAGATGGAGGCCTTCATGAAGAAAGTCAAACAGAACCCCTACACTCTGTTTGTCCTCATTCATGACAACTCGCACGTCGACCTGACAAGGTAAAGGCGTCTTCGACAGCACAGATTCTCCCATTAAAACCATTAAGGGTCACTTTGTTTTGCTCTGCTGATAATTTAAAGCAGCCTTTAAAAAAGAAGAACTGACTTTTCAAGCTATTTCACCATTGAAAAGAAATGTTGATGTTGCAATGAAAGCATGAGAGTTTTGCTAAAGTTGTTGTCAAACATTCTTAAAGTTATTGTAAGAATTTTTCTTTGCTCGTGCAAATACTAAAGTTCAGTCATGTGAACACTGTCGACGGCCAGTAGGTGCTGTCTTTTCTCATTGTGGCATGTAATTTTACAACAAAACACTATTTATTGTTAAAGTTCTTTTTAATCCCCTTTATTATCATGATGGGGAAATGCTCAATGTTTTAGTCTTGCTGGTCGTCACCCAGTGAGATCCCCTTTGCAAAGATTAGAAACATGCAAAGCTGTAGTATATTTTAGTCTTTTGCTTTATGCTACATGTCAGTTTCAGTCTTTAATTTTAGTTAACTATTATAACTTGTCTTTCTTTGTTTTGTTTTGGGGGGGTTTTTCCTCCCAAGAATTTTTTTTCTGTTATTGCCAGAATACTAAAACAGATCACTTCCTTTTTCCCAGAGGGGATTATCTTTGGACCGACCTCCCACACATCAGCCAGTTAGACCAGCATACAAAGCTTTTTGCACAAAGTTGTTATTTCAAAACCATGTTAAGTGTTATTAAGTGCTGTGCTAGGATAATCATAGTAAGTAAAAAAATATCCATGAATTCATTCAAACACTTTCCCCACCCTGATCTATTTTCAGTGCCCTGTCAGGCTCTGTGTGCCACGGGGAGCTGCAGGGTTTGGCTGACCGGGTGGTGAACTGTCAAGAAGTCTTAGATGCCATGAACCTCTTGGTCCTGCAGGTCAGCTGTTTCCCTTACACTTTGCAGACCCGCCAGTCTCGAATCAGCATCCACAATGAAGTTCACTGGCCGTCCAACGACAATCTGGTGAGAATGTTTGGGTTTTTTTTACATCCATCCATCCATTTGCTTCCGCTTACCCTTTTTCAGGGTTGCGAGGGGCGCTGGAGCCTATCCCAGCTGTCATAGGGCGAGACGCAGGGTACACCCTGGACAGGTCGCCAGTCTGTCGCAGGGCTAGCACACAGAGACAGACAACCATTCGCACTCACATTCACACCTATGGGCAATTTAGATTAATCAGTTAACCTATCCCCCCCCCTTTTTTTTTAACACTAAAACGTTTCTTTAGTTATGAGTTACACAGAATGGTCTACAAAACACCACGATAGGCAGTCACTGGAATGGCAAATACTAATTTCTTATGTGAATTATTTATCATAAATGACTTTACTGCAGCACACTGGCATATTTCCTGTGCTGTGGTTTAGCTACTCCCCCTGCTGTGGTGAAACTGCAGTTACAGTTTTAGACCTTTTTTAAAAAGGGTTTAAAGTAACTCGAGCCTCGTGTTAAAGAGTTACAAGTCAGAGAGAAAGGGAACCAATATATTATAGAACACATTAGGCTCACTTTCATATCCAGTATTATATATGAGGATACTTACTCCATGTTTTGTAACTAGGCACAACGTTTCACCAGTGTGCAGTGTATCATTAAGAACAGTCAGGACACATTGTCTAAACTGATGTTGGTATCTTTATCGTCCAGCAGAGGGAGCAGTTTCCTGAGGAGCTGGTCTACTTTGGCCTGAGGAACTACAGCAGATCCCTGCAGTGGGGCATGGCCAGTCCCATCCTGCGCTATGATGATGCGTTTGAGAAAATGGTTCACACTCTGTTGGAAAGGTAAGAGTGGGGTGAAACTGATGAATCAAACATGAAGAGTTTTGTATTTACTTCCACTGAGTGGGTAACGCATAATAACTGTAGACATTATAATCAGTTAAAAAGCTCTGATTGTACCTCCAGACACCCCCACCTACACAGCATGGTGATCCGCAGCTACCTGCTGATTCAGCAGTACACTGAGGCCATGATGGCTCTCACCTCTTCCCCGTCCCTGAGGGACCACATAACTCCAGAGACCCTGGCCATGGTGGAGGACTTGATAAACGCTCCAAGCAGAGAGGGCTCCCAGGGCCACGGCCACATGCTGCTGGTCCGTATCCCCTCGCTGCAGCTGGCAATGTTGGCCCGAGAAAGACTGGAGGACGTGAGGGACAAGCTGGGACTGCAGCTGTGCTTTGCAGTGCTGCTGGGAAGTCCTGCGTCTGAGCTCAACCTGCACAGAAATTTTATCAGTCGCCTCAGGGTGAGGAAAAAACCAGAGTCACACGACTGATTTCTTTGTGTGAAGTGTGTTCTGCTGAATGTAGAGTGTTGGGATCCATCTGCGTTTTTGCAGATCAGTCATTATCAGGGAGTTTACATTATTTTGCGAATCTGTTGTGCACTTTTGTACAATGAAAAAATTGTTTTGCCTCATAATTTGTCTGCATGTTTAAAGTCTCGTGCATTTTTTGTTTTGTTTTTAGTTTTTATAAATAACCTGTAACTGAAGAGGGCACACTTTGATTTTCATCTCTTTTTGTCAGGCTTGGCAAGGCTGTGAGAATGAAGACTGGGTGCCACACACCTATGTGGATCTGGAAGGGCTGCCCTGCATCGTCATCCTCACGGGCAAAGACCCTCTTGGAGAGACTTTCCCCAAGTAATATCATACTTAATACTACATTATCTTATAACATGGCTCAATATGTCTGTTTCTTTAACATAAAATGTAGCAAAGATCCTTTTAGCTCTTCTCTAAAACTCTTGTCTCCCGTCAACTCCCTTGTGCACTTCTAGGTCTCTGAAATACTGCGACCTGCGACTGATAGACTCCAGCTACCTGACTCGTACAGCCCTGGAACAGGAGGTGGGTCTGGCATGCACCTACGTATCCAGGGTTGTTGTTCCTAAACCAAAGAAGGCTATGGCCCCTCGGGAATCGGATGTGGAGAAGATCGTCACCAGCTTGAATGATGGAGATGAGCTGGAAAGACCTCAGAGCAACGGCAGCGCTGCAACCAGAACCTCTGGTTAGTGTGAATTACTGTGATGTTGGATTAAAGGAAACACAGAGCGTAACTGACATGAGCTTAACTCTAATTGATTTCTGATTACAGTAAAGCAAGTTGACCATAATACATGGGTACTGTAAATGAACGTGGGTCATAGCTTTGGAATGAGTTTGGTTTGTAGAAAATTTGGTTTTAATCTAAAGAGAGGGAAAAAAACCCTCCAAACACGTGAGCACTTTTTAGTTACATATATGTGCGGGTGTGTCTTTCATATTTCCCTCAGGCTCTTTGGCGGATAATGGTGTCAGCTCATCTGATGTTGCAGACTCTTTCCAGAAACCCTCCACTTCCACCTCGCAGCCTGAAGGCATGGTCACCATAGACATGGGCACATCAACACTCGGAATTAAGGAGGAGTGCGACTCACTGGGAACCCCGCTCTCTTCCGACCCTTCGAAAGCCTCCAAGGCTCCTCCATCCCTCTACTCCAGTTCCTCATCTTCCTCCCCCTCACCATCTTCCTCCTCCACCCAGAGGCCCAGCCAGTCCACGCAGTGCGATCGCGAGCCCACGAGGGCATCACCGCGCACAGTCATCTTGTCGCGAGCAGCTTACAATCTGTTGTCGGGGGAGTCTGGGAGTCAGCTGAGCTCCTCCTCGCTGCTCCCTCACGCAGACGTGGCCTGGAGCAGTCCGCTGAGGCCCATTATCACTCACACCCTGCAGGGGACGGAGCAGAGCATGTACTACCGCCAGTGGACCATCGCGCGGCAGCATCATGCTGATTATGAAGCGCCGTCTGTGCCGCATCCTCGACGCTTGCTGCTCAGTGGACCCCCACAGGTAACAAATCTCGTGTGAAAATAGTCACAATTAAGAAAAGGAGTAACTTGATTTAAAAATAGAATACAGAGAATTCTTTTTAAAAATTTTCTTTAAATTTATTGGCATCCATATAAATTTATGCAGTTAATTCCTCATCTGGATTTAAGTGTCACTGTAGTTCTACTGGTATTCTTTCCTTTCCTTCGCTAGGTGGGAAAAACTGGCGCCTACCTGCAGTTTCTGCGTATCCTGTTTCGGATGCTCATCAGGCTGCTCGAGGTCGACGTGTATGATGAGGATGAAGTGGAGGAAGGTGAGACTCATAGGGATTTGTTTATTTTTAATGGCCTTCACATTTTGTGAAATACATCAGATTTATTATGAAGCAGTTAGTTTGATGGTGACAAATGTATCAAATCACCCTCCACAGAAAATTCAGAGGTCACAACTCTAGTAAGTACCCAGTGGCCGGACATCGAGGAAGTCCGAAAGCTGCCCTTTGACCCCAACCTCCGAGATCCTAAATTCAGGAAAGCCAGCCGTGTTTACTCTGACAAGATGCTAAAGTCTTTCAAAGGTCAGCAAAAACATGGGAAAAAAACATCAATCTTGCCCACTCTGAGTTCAGCTTTTTAATCGGGTGTTATTAAAAAATTAACTTAAGTTTTTTATGTTCATGTAGATTGTAAGCAAGACAAAGAGAACCAAACTCCAGCCACACGAGTGACCAAGTCGATACGTCAGAGTAGGTTTGCTGCCCACAATGCCTTTCATCACTGTGACCAGTGCCATCACTACTGTGAAGCAGGCGCAGCTACACAGGTGAGATGCACCACCAACACCTTCTGCTTTACTGCAGACTTACAGATGCACATATCCCATCCTTGTGTTAATATTGTACGTGTGTGTGGTTGTGTTGTAGCTGTCGGAGTGCACCTTTCATGCTTTCACCTTCTGCTCGTCCATGCTGGGAGAGGAGGTCCAGCTCCAGTTTGTGATTCCCAAATCTAAGGAGCAGCACTTTGTTTTCAGTCATCAGGGCAGCCACCTGGAGAGCATGCGTCTGCCTCTGGTCTCCACCAAGGTTAGTTTGCTCGAGACAGCAGTATCTGTCGGGCCTTATTCCTTCTAATCGCTGTTTGGGTCACATGTTTACTTTTGCTTCAACCGTGTTTATCTGTCTGCAGGACCCCGACCTTCTCAAGAGTCCAATCTTCACCCCGACCACAGGACGCCAAGAACACGGCCTGCTCAACATTTTCCATGCCACGGAGGGGGCAGCTCATCTGCACATCCTCGTGGTCAAACAGTTTGAGATGCCTCACTATAGGAAGTACTGGCCCAACCACATCTTGCTCGTCCTGCCCGCCATGTTCAACAACGCTGGAGTTGGTAAGCAGCTGAGCAGCTGAGCTCTCTCTGTTGTTAAACCTGACAGTTTTTTGATCCTAACTAAAATATATTTAAAATATTTCATTCTACTTGCAGTCGATATAAAAAAAATTTCCCATATCATCTTTTTTTTCTTGCCCTCGCTAGTGTTTGTTGTCGTGATTGGCATGGCAGCAGATGCTAAAAAGAAGAATAGCAGGAACTTGTGTTACATTGCTCACTCGCTCTTGTATGAGCAAAAATAACTAAATGGAGACCCTCTTATGAAAGCATTTCTCCACAGCACTACTAGTGGTTGAAAGTCCACACAGTGGCGTTCAGCCTTTACATGACAGCTTATCACTCTGTTGATAATGAGTAATTCGTTGCAGTGTATTATCTACCATGGTCGTGTTTTCAACTTGTTTTTAGTGCTGTGTTTAAACTAGGCAAAAGGTTACCTGTTGCCTCACCCAACGCGTGAAGGTCAGCCATCTATTGTATCAGTCTGATTTGTAGTGAAGCCAATTAGGTGCAAGGCCTTTCTGAAGTGGGTGTAACTAAACAACATTTCTCTCAGATAAGCAGATGGCATTGGGCTAAAGATGACCCTTTATGTCAGTATGACTGCTTTCTAATCAGGATAGACTTTTCTGCTGAATACCTAAACATATTTTTATCTGCAGTGCCCGACAGAGTGTAGAGACTGCAGGCAGGCTGGAGTGGGTAGAGATGAGGAGAGTGAAAGGGAATGTTTACAAGACGGTAGTGAAGCCTGAGATGATGTAGGATTTGGAGAGCGGGGCACTGCAAAAAATAAATAGACGCATGGTAGAGTTGAAGATGTTAAGATTTTTACTCGGTTATCAGAACGGACAGATTAGAGGGACGGCACAGGTTGAGCGATTTTGAGGAAAAACATTAGAGAAAAATAGTTGAGATGGTTTGGGCATGTGCAGAGGACGGATAGTGGCTATATGGAGCTGCCAGGCAGGAGGGAAAGAGGAAGACCTCAGAAGAGGTTCATGAATGTAGTGTAGGAGGACATGCAGAGGGTTCGTGTGACAGAGAAGAACAAAAAGCCCAACAAAGTGTACTTCATTATCTTTCTAAACTATCAGACTTGTAAATTTGCAAATGTATACAAGCTCTATGCAAATATATCCTTTACATGGGATTTGAAAAGATTACTTCTTTTATCAAAGTTAATTAAAGGTGCATCAGTTTTAATCAAATCTTTAGTGAAAACCTAACAAAAACAATCCTGTCTGCTTTAAGGTGCAGCTCGCTTCTTGATCAAAGAGCTGTCATACCATAACCTCGAGCTGGAGAGGAACCGACTGGAGGAGCAAGGTGTCAAGAGACAAGACATATGGCCTTTCATTGTCATGATGGACGACTCCTGTGTGCAGTGGAACGCCCACCAATCAGCAGAAGGAAGGTAATAAGCACTTCCCAAGTGTAAGAGTGGAGTTGGTTGCTACGGTTAACCAAGCCCTGTTCAAAATCAATTTTACATATGTTCAAAATATTTAAAATTGCCTTCCCCTCTTGGTTTCTTAGTGAGACATCAGATGGAGGCTCATGTCTCAGCAACGTGTCTCTAAAAACGGTGCTGCAGCACATGGAGAACACGCCCAAGATCTCCCAGTACGCCGTGTGCGGCACACGCAAGTGGAGCAGCAGCCTGGCTCGCAGGTCTCCCAGCAATCCCTTCAGTCGGTGTCACCTCCATGACTTTGTCATGCTGAATGTGGACCTGACGCAGAACGTCCAGTACGACCTGAATCGGTAAGCTCAGAGAAGGCCATGTGAGTCAGTTTGTCTGAGGTGTGCATTGTCACCGTTACCTGACGTTGCTGTCCCGTGCAGGTATGGCTGCGAGGAGGTGGACTTTAATCTAAGGGTCAATAGCAGTGGCTTGTTGCTGTGCCGCTTCAACAACTTCTTCCTGATGAAGAAGCACATTCCAGTTGGGGGAAGAAACAAAGAATTCCTGGTCAAAACTAAACTCATGGTGGGTGTTCAGGTAATTCAAATTATTCGCTTTGTCATGTCCTTGTCTTTCTGTGCGTAAAACCAGCTCACATGAAACTTCTTTCTTCTCTCCAAAGGAAATAGAAAACCCCGCTCTAATCAGCCCGTTGCAGTATGTTTGTGCACCAGACAGCGAACAGACCCTCCTCGACGCCCCGGCCCAGTTCCTACTGGAAAGGTTCCTCCAGAGCTGCAGTCACAGACTTTTTCCGAAAGCTGTTAGGAACAGAGACAACCCAGTTCTGTCCATTGACAGCTACCTCAACCTAAGCCCGGAGGTGAGAGCTCCCCAGAGGTTGCAGTTGAAAGCAGGAACAGTAGAATAATCTCTATTTCAAACTTAGGGCAAGGCTTAAATATCAGACTACTGTGATAGACACATTTTGGATAGAAATCGAGTGCTTCTCTGTCTGATATGCAGAGTTATATACTTTATAAGGTGCTCTAATCTGTATAGTATAGAGAAATGAGACAAACCTGCTCCCCGACTTTAATGTAGATTTTTTTTAACCCACAGAGAAGCATGTTGCATGACTTTCCCATCTGTTTTTCTTAGAACATTCTGACCTGCATACACCCACATGTGCACACAGTGAATGCTAACAATGCATTTTACTGCACATTTGTGCAATGGCCGTCTATCTGTACACACAGTCTTCTCAAGTTTTTGCACATCTTTTGTTTTAAACTTTTACCCACAAGGCGACTTTAAATTTGCTTGAGCAGACACCTTCGGGAGCTCCCAGCAGGAACTGTCAGGGAGTCGTAATGTTTTCTTTCAGTTACTTCGAATCTAAAAGGCAAGCTCGTGATGTTAGTTTCATTTTCCCGACTGTGATTAATGAAGTTTGTCTCTTTTTTTTTGTTGTTGTTGTTGCAGATCTCTGTGTGCTACATCAACTCTCGTCCACACTCCACCAACCTGAACCATCAGGGGCTGGTGTTCAGTGGCCTGCTGCTTTACCTCTGTGACTCCTTCGTTGTTTCTGGACTCCTGAAGAAATTCGACTTCCTCAAAGGTGTGAAATCAGTGTCACGATTAAAGGAAGGGATTGGGATGCTTTGTTGCTCATATTTTCCCAAGACCCCACACATAGTTATAGGAAATGACCTGGTTGTTTTCTTAGATTTTCACCCCCTACCTTCTTCTGTGCTAGACTGTCAAAATAAAAGCTTCCAGGTGTTAAAAGGACATTGGCAAGGTTTGGGTCTCTCTACAAAATAAGAATCAGTTCCTGACTACAGTAGCTTACATCCCAGTCATACAAGCATAGAGAGCAGCTGGTGATTGCCTGGCAACCAGTGGTTGCTAAGGGAAAATCTGTATCCCTGAACCGATTGGTAAGTGGTTACTGGAAGTTGTGCGCTGTTGCTAGGTGAAATTTGTTACAAATATATAAAAAGTGCTGCACCGAAAACGTCCTTGCAGTTGGTTTGGTTGCTAATAGGTTGCCATGGTCACCTGTAGTTTGTTTGGAAGGCAGAGACAGTTCTTGCGTATGAGTTGGTGTCTTAGATGCAAACTATGCCACATGTGGATGTCTTTCTAGCCCTGTTAAATCTAATATGATAGAATTATGCAATCTGTCTCACAATAGAGAACTAAACAGCTAAACTTGATAATTAAAGTGGCACTGCGTGTCCTACTATCTAACTTTTGATCTTGAATTTGTCCACAGGTGCCACCCTCTGTGTGATCTGTCAGGACCGCAGTTCCCTGCGTCAGACCATTGCCCGACTGGAGCTGGAGGACGAATGGCAGTTCCGCCTGCGGGACGAGTTTCAGACGGCCAACTGCAGCGAGGATCGGTCCCTCTACTTTCTGACCGGCCGCCACGTTTAAACCTGCTCAAATCTATGTCCACACAGTGTTGTTGCTGAAGAAACCCAATCAGAACTGAGATTTAGTTCCAGACCTGCAATCAAAATTTTGATCAGGCAGAACACAGGTCTGCAGGGAAATGCTGGAGCACGAGGTGTGAGGACCACCTGACACAGCTTTCTGTACTGCCAGTGTGCACTGTGCCCGACTCCAAAGAGGGTCGGTGAATGTTTCTGACTTTCGCTCGCCTGCCGGCTTGTCTTCAGTTAAGCTTGTGTCGTAGTGAAAAAGACTTTGCTGTGACGGGAAAAAAAGCACAGCTGAAACTGAACTTATTTTGTTTTGGTGCTGTTTTGTTTTTTTTATTTTTATTTTGGACTCATGATGGATAATGTGACTATTTGAAGAATGTATTTTGAACCCACTTTGTCCAGTCCTGGATGTTCAGGGGGTCAGAGACAGGTGGCTTTAAGGAGTTCCGTTACCTTCAGCATTCTCACATGGGCACAATGGAATATATTTTAACAGGGACATGGCAGGTTTGAGACCATGATAACATCTGTGTTTGTTAATGTTTGTGCATCTGCATGAAAACAGTTTAAGTTTGCCATTAATTTTTCTAAGCACCAAAGACGCCTTTAGCTGCACTTTTCCTTTTTCCTTTGCTTTCTTTGACCTTTCTCACCTGCTTTGCCTCTCATAATCCACAAAGCCCATTTATGTTTCCTCATAACGTTACAAAGATACACCCAAGAGTTTGGTCATTACTGGATTTCAGGTCATCAGGAGTATCTGTACTGGAAGCTGTGGGAATCAAACAATAAGCAGCCGTTGGATTTGACACAACATGTTGTCACATGACTACATTTCATGCGAGTTTATCCAAAACGACTGGAAAACTACGGGAACATACGAGTTGTGTCTTCATTATTTTACTGTTTCAGTTTCAATAGAAAACTGTGAAGCTGGTCAATTTTTCTGAAACACTATTAAACTGCATCCACACAGGAAGCAGTTTGCTTGATTTGTTACCTAGGTAACCCACTAATGCATGGAATCCTGCGTTCTCATTGGTAGTTACTTCAATTCCTTGCCTCAAAGTTGAGAACAGTTTATCTTGGGATTCATCCAGTTAGCATTGTCAGCAGGTGAAACGTGACATGTAGTCACATTTCACTCACTTTCTTCTACAGTTTGTGGTCGCTACGCCGCTGTGAGTCAACATCCACTCAAGTCAGTGACGTTCTGCAACTGTAGCCAAAATAGCCTACAGTGACAGGAAATTTAGAGACTTTGAAAGCGTATGATACTGCTGATTGACATATTACTGGGTTGTAAATACTTTAGAGGGTTCCCTAGGAAACCAGAGCTCAAAATATCTGCAAGCGATGCTCGATGAGAGAATAGTTTCCAGCGTGGACACAGCTTTAGATGATCTGCCACAATGTTTTTATTTTTACATGCTTTCTGTTAACATGGACACCGAGCAGTTGATTTAGTCGTATGTTATGACAGTAATTTTTTGACAGTAAAAGTGTACCACAGGCAAGCTCCCTCACTGCCAGCTGTCCTGCTACTGCCCGTGCCTGAGATGTCACCTCCTGTTATGGTGTCCTGATTGTTTATTGAAGATGTTTGCTACCATCCACTTTGATTAACCCAGTTTCCAGCCCTCAATTAAAGGGTGAAAATTAGGTTTACGCATATACTTGAAAGATGAATGTTTTTATAAGTTTCTGCACGTGGTTGTCCAAAGAATATGCCTTAAGCGATGTTTCACACAGTGTCTGCTTAGGTTTTGTTTTGTTTTTGGACCAATGAGAATGAAGAAACCTTTTGACTGTGAGGCGAAAGAATGTTGTTTGTCTCTGATCAAATAATTGGGTTTTGGACTACTGTACTGTTTAAAGCTTTGTTTACATTATTAATATATTTGATCATCCCCTTACCCACTGAGGGTTACTGATGTGTTTAATGTTGTGTAATGTTTGCCAGTGTATTTTGGTGATGTCTTTCTGCATTTTTATGTTGCAAAGGCAAGAAGAATCTACCTAGATTTGTCTTTAATGATGTCTTTATTCCTTTTGGGGTTTTTTTCCTTTTCTTTTTTTCTTTTTTTGAAAATGAGAATCAGGTCCATGAGGATTTTTTTTATTTATTTGAAAAGCATTTGGGACTGATAATCATATTGGAGTGTATAATTTGATTGAGGCCTAAGTTCACTTGGGCCAAGGGAGCGTGCCCTCTTCAAAACCGGTCGCGAAGGCTTTGCACAAGACACAAACGAATGATTCTTGGATCTACTGAATGTTACTGGGGGTTTTGCAAATGTTGGACTTGCACTATACAAGTTGCCAGCTTAAAGAATTATTTCCAGAAGATGGTTATGTTCTCTAACCCCTAGATTTAATATAATAGTGATGATCAAAACAATGGTCCGTAGAAAGTGTTTTTCCTCTTTGATTTTAATACTTAATATGCAACTTGCTCCCACAATCTTAACTGAAATGTGTTTGATAACCATGTGCAGCACAGTGGTAGCCTTGGTGCCTGCTTGATCTACCTCATGTTTACCATTGTGGTTGCAGGCTGTGAATATCTTAATGTTAGAGCCATGCTGTTGTTGTTTAAAATGTCTGAATGTAATAAAATGGCATCTAAACATATCCCGTTGTTATTTTTCCTCTTTGTTTTCAGTGCCCGACTCTGTGATTTAATCTGTTAACAGACACAAAGACAGTAGAGTGAGTTGCATACCAAAAATTGGCGAGCTCCAGCAAAGTTGCAAGACATTATACAGCTGTTGTCAGATGTTTACATACTCATCATGGGCAGGAATGTCGTGGAAATTTGGGGCTTTTGATCATTTTTGTTCCCTTTCCAGGGATTGTGGAGCATATATCTTTAATTACTTTAAAAAAAGAAGAATTGGTTGCATAATTTGATGTTATTTCGGGTTTTCTCTAATCCCTGCAGGGTCCAAATTGTGCATACACTCACTTCAGTCTTTTAAAAAGTGGTCCTGAAAGTTCTACTGTGTCTTTTAACTCAACATCAGATCAGATCATGATTAACTACAACTTTATCTTTGCCAGCATAAAAAGGATTTGTTTGACATCACTTACTGGATTGACCAATAGTCAGAACAATTGGAAAGTCCAAGGAACTCAGTGAAGATTGATTAGGGAGACTTCAAGTTTGCTCAAGTTGGGGAGGTCACCTGGAGCCATTTATGAACAAGTGCAGTTTCCCAGATCATCAGCTCAAACAGTCAGACACTTTCAAATATCCATCCATCCATCCATCCATCCATTCGCTTCCGCTTATCCTTTTCAGGGTCGCGGGGGGCGCTGGAGCCTATCCCAGCTGTCATAGGGTGAGAGGCGGGGTACACCCTGGACAGGTCGCCAGTCTGTCGCAGGGCCGACACACAGGGACAGACAACCATTCGCACTCACATTCACTCCTAGTGGCAATTTGGATTATCCAATTAACCTATTCCCACAAACTGCATGTCTTTGGACGGTGGGAGGAAGCCGGAGTACCCGGAGGGAACCCACACTTTCAAATAATTGTACGTAAAGTTATTTGGATGTGTAATCGCCTTGCCAACGTCTGGACAAAGAGCCAAACTGTCACCCTTTGGAGGAAATTGGTTAAGATGTTTAGGAACAACCAAAGAACCACTAAGCCTCAAGCCAGCCATGAACTGGAAATTGCTGAAACACCAGCATCACTGTCCACAATGAAGTGAGATTTACATTGGCATGGACCGAGAGGGTGCCAAGAAAGAAGTTCGTACTTCCAAATCGACACCTTCAAGCTCAGCTGAAATTTGCCACTGCTCATGTGGACAAGCCAAAAAGTTTTATGCTCAGACAAAACAAAGAACGGAGCGAGTAAAGTTTCCAGCGTTCCAGTTGTGGAGCATGGTGGTGGCAGCATCATGGTGTGGGACTATTTTTTTGACACTTGTACTGGTGCATTGCAGAAAGTGGATGGAAAGATTTTTCAACTTTACCTCAAATCAACAGCTTGATGGTTGAAACTTGGACACAATCAGATGTTCCAACAGAACAATGATCCCAAATACTTCAAAACTGATTTTGGAATAGATAACGCAGGATAACATTAAGCTTTTGGAATGTTTCGACCTCAGCCCTGTTGAAAATTTGTGGACTATGCTTAAAAGCTCGGTCTGTGCAATGAAACCAACCAGTTTAAATGAACTCTACCAATTCTGTCAAGAAGAGTCGTCATCTATCCAGCAAGAACATTTGATGACGTGACATTTAATCAAATATATTGCTGGGAGTGTATGTATACTTTTGATCCTATATGTATGTATGCATACTGGAAAAAGAACAGTTCAAAGAAATACCCATGATGAGTGTATGGAAACTTCTAATCACTGTATCACGCCTTCATTACTTCTTATCATTTAGGCTGCATGTTTGAATTCTATAAGCTCTGATTTCCATTGGTTTTGATGCTTTAATGTTGTATTTTGAAGACAAGTGCACTGATACAAAGTTTAAGTAGGGTTCTTCAAGCTCCCTGTCTTTAGCCTGTGATTAACAGTATCCTCACTCTCATCCACACAATGCCAGATCTTTTTATTCTGCCAGAGTAAACCCTCTTGTTTATTTCTGAAGCAACATCTCTCCTGATGTGTTTTTTCCATCTCAGCACCTCTGTATCTTTGTTGTGAATAATGTACAATGACCTTTCTCACTATCAAGAAGAGAAATAGCTTCATAATGAATGCTGGGCTCTTTCTGGCATCATCACTGTCAGGGCACAGGGGCATTGTTGGTCCAGGGACATTACTATTTCAGCTCTTGTGAGGTAATATTAGAGCAGCCTTTCCATCAACCTACAACCTCTGTGTGATATAACACAAGGCTATTTTCAGCCAGCGGCTGTCAGGACAGGATAAGAAAGTAAAGGCATGAAAGGGCGCCTGGGATGCTGATTCTGGCACCTCATGATTGTTCTTTATGGAAAAGTAGGCATTGTGCAGAAAGCCCACGTGATTTTAGATGATTTTTATGCGTTTGAAATCTGATGCTTGCAAAGATGTCAGAGGGGTAACTCACTATTTTAAGGCTATTAATTTACAGTACTATTAGCTTCCTGTGGCACACAGTTTTCTTGTTTGGTTTCATTGTTTAATTTGGGCTTTGAGGTGATATTTTTCCAAATTCTGCAAGGTCAGAAGATTAAATTCATTTAAATTATTTCTCTCTCCTACTGTAGCCCATTTTATCAGCTTAAATTAAGTTTCACATATTCCCAGAATGTATCTTCAAAGTTTCAGCTCAGCAATACCTCACCGATCGCTCACAAATGCATGTAGCTTTAAATGCAAATTTGCTGCTCCTGGCCACACCCATGGATACCAATCAATAGATAATAACCAATACCCAAATTAGAAAGCATTTATTCTGGGTTTAATTAATATAAATAATGGAATAGTATGAATATTTTTTATGATATAGCCCTGAGGACAGAGTTTAATGGTTGTAATGGTTATAGATGGTTATATAATAAATCCTAACTGTTCTTCTGAGTTTCATTTTCAATAAAATATATTAAAGCCATCATTACTGTTGTGTTTTCGTGTCTTAGGTAAAAAAGGACATGCTGTTGGGGGGATAGATGCTGTTTTTCCAAAACAGTATTGTAAAACCTAAAAAATATACTCTTCCTGCTCTTTGAAATATTATTAAGGATTAGTCATCCAGTTAATAATGTCAGATAATTACAATACTTTGTTAAATCATGACCTATGAAGAATGTGTAATGGTTAAACTGAAGACAAGTAAAACAAAAAGATACAAATGAGATGTTTTTGGTGAAATTGAAATGATGAGCTGCTTTTGCAAGGAGTTGCAGGTGAATAAAGACCAAAAAACAAGTAGAGTATCGCTAGGTGGTTGCCAGGCAACAAGATGGCTTTTGTGGATATAAATGAGAAGTTATTGTCACAGAATAAAAACGATATGATGCTATTATAAGGTGTTACAGGTGCACAAATGCTAAAACCATTTCATTTTAGCCCATTGCTATGTGGTTGCCAGGCAACCTGATGATGCCATAATATCTACTGTAGATAAAAAACCATCAGGGGACTATTATGCACCTGTGTGCCAAGTTTGGGGCTCAACTCATGACTGTGTAGAAGAAGAAACAAGCGCACACAAACATGCTTATTGTGTTGCTTATTGCTTATGCTTCAGAGATATATATGTATATGAAATTTGCCACTTTTTTAAATTTTTTTGGTGGCAATCCCAGTAGATATGTCTAGAAAAAGCAACAATTGGATCAGATACGGAGGGTAAAGTCCAAAGTGGGACATTTATATTAGATAGATAGACAAAATTACTCATCCTTCTTGGCAGTCTACTCTAATTAATCACAGGTTTTCATAAAACCGAAGCTCATCTGTCTGTGGGCTTATTGAGGGCTTGGTCTGTGGGGAAGTGGAGTGCTGGCGGATTACAGTTGGCTTTTGGTGGATCACATCCACTACTGCAGTCATGCATATCCTATCAACGGCTAAGCTCATGAGTGTGGAGCGAGTCAATTCTAAGGCCCAAATCCCAATCCAATGGTGTGAGAGGAGAGACAGTGTGACCCTTTGGTGACACAGCGGTCACGCAGTAAGCCAGCTCAAATGGTGGACTGTCAAATGTCCTGGCGTCGGCGGACGATGATGAAGGCAGTCTCACGCGACTCTTGGGAAGGCTATCCAACTTTGTGTTCTAAATGTAATTATTTTTTTAAAAAAAAACAAGTTTAAAAAAATAGAAAGAAAAAAGAAACAAATCTGGAGACAGGAGCCAAAATGACTTAGAATTTGTTTATTTATTTATTAAATACAGCATATTACACTCATGTTGATAATCTGTATATACTAGTACTTATATAGAGACATTGTTTTAAAGTTAAACTCTTTATTGCCGCACATGTTGAACCGAATGTTTCATTTTCTTCTTTTTATACAGTGTAAAAAAATGAAATGAATCCTATGAACAGACAAACATGTCCTTTGTGCTACATATTACAAAGTGGTGTTAACGTTCAGGACATGATGACACTGATAAGACACATGCTGCACAATGGACACTCGGCAGGACAAACAAACACAAAAAAATCGTAATTCCACAGGAACAGGAAAAATCCTCCACGCAGTGCATTACTGAAAGTCTGGCTTCCAGTCAGATCTGATTGTTTCACTGATGCTAACTCATACATGGTAGCCAGCCCCTTGATCATTGTTGGCAAAAGAAAACAAAAAACGACTGGAAACCAGGCTTTGCATTTAGTAAAGCAACATCTAACACTTTCAGACAGTCACCGTGTGCATTATTTCATTCACATCCACTGAGTCTAGCACCCTCAGACCTACGTTAAGGACTCGTTTTCAACATTTGAAGAAAGAAAACCTTGTGAAATTGCCATACTCTCATTTGCTCTGTTCAACCTTTGGGATACACTTTCATTTTTCTCATGAAATGAAGTGCTTTGCATTAAGGAATTTTTCAACTTACATAGTGCAATTTTACATTCCTCGTCATTGATGAATTTGCCTCCATGTTGTAAAACTATTTGGTGCATGAATGGAAGAATGAGTCAAAATAAAAGTGCATGCAGGAGACGTACAGACAGGAACAATTCAAAATATGCTTGTTCGATTTTGCAGTGTGGGATAGATAAGGAGGCTGACACCCCTCCACTCTCGGTCTGCTACATATGAAGCTGCAGCCAGGGGCCGGTTACTTGATTAGCATAAAGAATGAAAGAAGGGGGAAACTAGCTCAGCTTGGTTATCCCTGTAAAGCTCCAAAACAGGTTGATTTAGGTAGATTTCTCCTTTTTTTTTTTTTTTTTTTTTAAATTAAAATGGCAGCCTCAACTAGCGGACTGACAAATATACATTGCTTTTATACATTGAGGCCAAGGGCTATTATAAATGAGCCCTTCGTCATCAGATGGTTAGCAGGTTTCTGTGGATGTCTGTTTGTCTGCCTATTATTTTTGCAGACAGTTTACATGATAATGAACTAACAGAGCATAACCTAGGCTTTAAGCATTGATTATACTCTGATGGATATTGATTTACAGTTCGAGACCCAATAGCTGCGTAGTTTTTTCTGTTACACTTCTCTGAAGTCTGCTTTATGCCTACTGCCTGGGATAGATGGGTAGCTGGTCCATTCTTATTTAAATTCTTCACAGACGACTCCGTGCAGTCACAAAAAACAGGCAGGTACGTAGATGCCCAGACAGATGTTCGCACGCACTGATGACAAAGACATCCAGTGGACTTGAACCAAATAGATCAGCAATTAAGATCGTAGAAGGACTTTGTGCTAGTGGAGCTTTTCGTTACGTCAGAGGGCATATCCTATCACGAGATACCTCAGAGAACCAGGGTTACACGGGTAACCAAACACATTAAAGTCACTCATGAGACTAGGAAATACACTGTGTTCCAACTGAAGAGTTGGAAATCCCAACTTTGATGTAGGACTTTCCAATTTGAACTCTATACAAGCTGAATTTTTTTTAATTTTTTTAAATTTTATATTTTTTTTTTTTTTGGGGGGGGGGGGGTAGCTAAATTACTTAATAACTCAAAAATTATGAGTTATGTATCTGAGAAGTCAAAATTATAAACTACATAAAATTGGGAAATAACCCAAAATACGATATTTTCCACATACTACTACTACTGGAACGGTCAGCTCGAGAGTGACGTCACTCCTACCTCTGACAACTTCAGAGGTAAAAGAAACAAAGCTTTAGTCCAGGCACTACATTATCTGTCTGTGTGTGGTAAAGGTAAGTACTTATTATTATTGGACAGATTTTAGGCAAACCTATATTTTAATAGTTATTTTTGACCATCTGATGTAGCAAAATGTCAACTATGCAACAAATAAATAAATAAATAAGATAAAAATGATTAAATTTGTACTTTTTTGCTTTAAAATGTGTAATTACTATGCAGCGCGCTCAAACTACTGCATTCGAGGACTTACGTTTCTTTATGACTGATTTCTGATTATTTATTAACAGCGACAGAAATTATGCCAAAATATAAGAGCTTTGCAATTTCATGTTTAATTTGTGGGTACTCCTCTCCCATGACAATTCTTCTCCTGGCAACGAGAGGGAAGTATCCCTTAGTAACATTACACTAAAATGCAGAGAAAAAGTATTTTCCCTCTTCCTGATTTGTTTATTTTTTTGCACATTTATTAAATTACATTACTTACATGATTCAGATCATCACACAGATTTTTATGTATTTACTCTGGTTATCTTTGTTAAATATTACAATTTATTTTGCTGATCTGAAGTATGAAATATGAAAAAACCCCTAAGAACTCAGGAAGAGGGAAAATACTTTTTCACGGCACTGCATTTTATTTAGAGCTTCAGAGGCGCTGCTTTCCTCTGCTTCCAATCTTTATGCTTCCAATCTTTAAGCTATTCATCTCATGATATTAGCATCATATTTAAAAGAAAGTGAATTCAAGCTTCACAACTCAAAAGACAAAAATATGAAACTATTACTTTAGAAGAAAATAAATAACTTTGTGTGGACGTAAACTTAGGAAAACTCAAACTCAAGGAGAATAACTGAGAAAGTACAAAGGAGGGAAAGAAGTTAAGGAAAATGAAGTTAAGAAAATAAAAAAAAATCCCTGAGGGCTAAAATCCTACAGATGTCTTAATGATAAAAGCAATAGAGGATGCTTCATTACCAAAAATGATTGGAATCTCATGTACAGTACTGATGATTGCACAAGGTAATCACATAATTCTTTAGCTAGCTAATGCACAAATGGGCACAGATTCAGTATTTCAGCTGTGACATGAACAGCTTTGCTTGCAGGACTACAGACTTTTAACTGCATGGAATCAATAAATTAATGCTGAGTGCAACACAAATGCTGCATTCAATAAAATGTGCCCTTTAAAATGAGAAAGAATTAGTTTTTTTTTTTTTTGCTTGTGGCAGCAAAAATAGAACGGACCTATGGAGGGCAAGGATAGAAGAAGTCATCGGAAGAAAGAAAAACTGCAGAACTGGTCTGGTAGAGAGGAGAAGATAGATGTAATGCAGAAAGGGCTGATTAAGGTATAAAAAACAAGAATGGGATTTAAAATGGAAGAAATAAAGGACAGAATGTATCAAGAAGACATAATAAAAATGTAAAACCAGAACATCAGTTACATTTTCTTATCAGGAGAGGTCTTTGAGTTGGTTGCTTTGCTCAATGACCGCCTTTGCAAACTGCTTGAAGACTCGGTCCATATAAGTGCTCTGACGTGGCCACAGGCCCTCCAGGAAACCAATATGGCCACCGTGATGGGTAATGAGCATGGCCAGGTTAGGGTTCTGTTTCACTGCCTCCACTGGAATGGCTGCAAACAAAACACAGAATTCACTTTTTGTTTTTTTGTTTAATCTCTGTGCAATGTCTTTACATGACATGCCAGAATGTTATCATTAGTTCACGTAGTTGAAGTATTTTCACCCATGAACTGGACTTTGGACTGGAGACTCACCGTGAGATGGAGAAAAGACATCATCAGCAGCGTTGAGACATAGCATTGGCACCTGCACAGATTTGAGCCTGTGGACAGGACTGGCATCGCGGTAGTAGTCGTCATTGGTAGGATAACCAAACATTATCGAGGTGAACCTCTCGTCAAACTCTCGGATGGTCCTTGCCTGTGGGAATGCAGTAAAACGATTTATTTGGTCTACTTTATTTAATGAAATTGGCATGGCTTAACGCCACTGAAAATAATCCCCTACCTTCATGACATGATCAATGTCGTAACATTTTTCGAGCACTGGTCTGTGCCTGCGGGGCAGATTTAAAAAAACAAAAACAAAAAACGGGTCACTAACTGCTGTTAGGTTACATGACTTGCATTTGAAAATATTCCCCAGAAATGCTGACAAGGTTGTAACAACATAATAGACTACCCCGGAAAAGAAAAGATAAATTCAAAAGAAGATCTGTTCTTCATCCAGCTTTTTTCAATAAAACATCAACATCAATATGAGAACATTCCTCCTGCTAATGAAATTCAGCTCCTCATACATAGCCTTCATTTCCTCTCAGCATGATCCCGGTTTCAGATGTGGAAACGTTGTCATCACTATTTGTCTCAAATAGCAATATTCTAAAGAACACAACTGGCCTGATGATAAGCTGATATCAGTTATATTTATTTAAAATTAGCATGAACTGATATTCTCATTCGCATCAAGAGCAGTAAAAAACGTGGGGGTCGTAGAGGCTGCGAAAAATGGGCCATTTTAGCCCGTTGCTAGGCAGCTTCAATTCAACTTTTGTTGTTAAATGTTAATTGCATAAATGCTAGAAAAAATTGCAGTTGCTAGGCAACATGAAGATGCCATTTGTGGATGTCATTTGCGTATTATATAAGAACATTTTTATCCATCTATTAATTCTGGACTGTGACTTTTTCAACTTTTGGCATTGAATTCATTAGCTGTTCATAATGGTGACCATTGATCCTAATTTATTCTCTAGCATTTTTGGAGTCTTTAGTTCTTGTTATAATTTATTTTTCCAGTTTCATTTGTTTCCTCAGTGTTTCCCGTCTTCTCCTCTTGTGTCAATTCTTCTTCATTTAGTTCAATCCTGTGTCTGCGTTTCCCTGTTTATTGTTTCTCACTTCCTGTCTTATCTTAGGCGTCATTTCTCACTTGTGTTTTGTGTTTAGTTTTACTTCACCTCATGCCTCATTGTCTTTCATTATAATCACATGTGCCTCATGACCCTGCTGTGTCCACTTCTACTAATTACCCTCATGTGTAGAAATAGCACTGTCTTCTCCTCAGTGTTTATCAATCCACCCTTGTGTTGTCCCTGGCTATTAAATCAATTATTAGTCTTTTAGTCCGTTATTAGTCTGGATTTCTGGATTTACTATCATCATCATCATCATCATCATCAATGCAATAAAGGTGCTCTTTAGGTTTACACTCGGCTATTTATCCATCCTGCATTTGACATGTGGTTACACAGCAAATGACAGTGAGACAGCGAGGGGAAGTCTCGAGTACCCAGAGTGACACCATGTAAAGGTGGTTCAGCCTTGACCATGACCTTTGACCCTGTTGCTGGAAGGCAACAGTGCAAACCACTACATCATCATAATTATTATTTACTTAATTATGATTAAGCATTTATTGATTTCCGATTAGGCTTATACCTTATTAAAATATTTGTTTTGTCATATTGTAATTTATCGAGCTGTCACTAGTCTATGTATTTGAGCTATTTAGTTTTAATTTAATTTTCTAACCGGATAAATAAAAAATATCTTCTTTTACTTCTTCTTCTAACACAATAACTTAGGAAAAACTCAGTGATGTCCAATACGAAAAATGATGAGGCAGCACTAGGTAAAGCACTATCATGCATATGTTATTGCTCATGTTAACACACAAGTAGGAATATATTGTGGATATGTAGTCAGGCTTTGTTTAAATGTTTTGTTCATCACCTAACAAACAATAAAGCATAACCCCCCCCCCACACACACACACACACAACTTTTAAATGAGCAAACCAAACATAAATATTTGAAACCCAGTTGTTCAAGCCTCTGTTTAGAAAATAGCACTGGCAGTGACTTAGTGGCTGTGTTAATCCCTGCTCTAGCCCTGGCTGACCTGTGCACAGAGGCTTGTAGGCAGCTGGTGAGGTAGGAGTTGAAGAGGAAACGGTCCAGGGGTTTTTCCAGTGAAGCGGTGCACTCAAATACATCCCAGCCCGCTGAGAAGACCACGACCCCTTTCAGACAGGTTTCCCGGCCCTTGCGCCCCAAGTAGTTTGCCAGCATCATCCTGAATATGGAGAGAGGGACAGATGAAGGGACAGAGGGAAACTGAATGACCAATCCCCCAATTCAGAGGATTACTGTTGTGCAATAAAAAACACATTATTTGGCAGAGTGCGCCGAACAACTGGAAAATAATAAAACAAAGCACTGACATGTCCCCAACACACAGTAAATGTTCAATATCTCACAGTTTACTAAAGCTGCATCGTGAAAAGTAGCTTTAATGTTTATTCTGACTTTAATTAGCAGTATGTGCAAGCTAGCTTGTAAAGAGTGGCTCCATTACCCGCCCATGGACACTCCTGCAGCCATGAGTGGAGCAGCTTCATAGGCCCTCTGGATGTGTTCAATAACAGTCTCCAGATCCTCTGTGTTGGCTGCACAGTAGGTCCTTGGGGTCTGAGTATGACAGCAACATAACACAGTCACTCCTGCCTTTCTGATTCTTTGTCTCTGTCAAAACCACGATGAAGACCCAACAAAAGTGAAAACTGGAAACTTAGTATAGTAAAAACTTAGATGACATTACAGTTTATTAGTTTGTTAGAGCAGCTGTTTCTTCTAAAGGATTTTATGGAGACAGGCTGACAGTCCACAGACATACTGAAATTCAAACTGTGCATCAGAATAGAGGAGAAAGGTGATTTAAATGAATGTGATGTGGTTGTTGGTGCCAGAAAGGCTGGTTTGAGTATTTCAAAAATTTCTGATCTGCTGGGATTTTTCCACACTGCCATCTCCAGGGTTTACAAAGAATGGCCATCAAAAGAGAAAATACAATGAGCTGCAATTCTCTGGGTGAAAATGTTTGTCCAGAGGCCAGACTGCTTTGAACTGGCATTTAGGCAACAGCTACTCAAATAACAAGGCATGCAGAACAGCATCTCTAAACACACATGTTAAACCTTAAAGCAGATGGGCTACAGCAGCAACAGAAGACCACAATGAGTATCACTCCTCTCAGATAAGAACTAGAAAGAGAGGCTCCCGTTGGGACCACCAAAATTGGGCAACAGAAGATTGGAAAAGTGTTGCCTGGTCTGATGAGTTGAAAACAATGGATACATCCTGCCTTGTATCGATCATTCAAGCTTTTGCCAGTGATCTCATGATAATACGGATATTTTCTTGGCACACTTTGGGCCTCTTAGTAACAACTGAGTGTTGTTTAAATGCCCTAATCTACCAGAGTATTGTTGCTGACCATGTACATCCCATTATGACCACAGTGTACCATTCTTCTGATGGCTGGTTCCAGCAGGATAACGGACCATGTCACTAAGGCTTAAATCATCTCAAACTGTTTTTTTTTTTTTACATATGTCACAGAGTTCTGTGTATTCAAATGCCCTTAACAGTCAGTATCAATCCAATAAAGCACCTGTGATGGAACCAAAGATGTGCAGTAAATAAATCTGCAGCAACTGGGTGATGCTACCACAACAATATGGACCAAACTCTCTGAGGAATATTTTCAGCACGCAGAATTAAGGGAGCTCTGAAGGCAAAGGGTATTCCAATTCAGTAATAGCATGGTGTACATAATGAAGTATCCAGTGAGTGAACTCTATTGAAACCTTCAAAGTCATTTGCTCAGTAGACCACGAGAATCTCCTCTCTATAAAGCCATGAAAAGTGGATTCACATTTACCTGTTCACGCTGTGTATCTACATAAAAAATGTTTTAGCAGGCCAGCACAGGATAACCCATTTTTCTGAGACTCATTATTATTGTTTATTTGGCAATTTCTGAGTATGATAAGAATGCTGTTCGGTGTATGTGGGGGTGACATTTCATTCGACTTGAAACAGTGTTATCACTCAGAGCAGGCTACTTAACATTTAAAACAAGCCTGCTCTAACTTGAAGGAGCCTATTTAACAAGTCCAGTTTCTCAGCTCTCCAAGGCTGCTCATTAGGATTCAAGAAGAAGCTCAGGCAAACTATATTCCTGCTTTTCTCTTCTCTTATGCTTCCTTTAATAGTTCTGGACAAGAGCAGAACTTTAATAGGCCACCAGATCTTACTATGCTTATTTTTTAATTGAATATATAACAAAACAACAAATTAATAATGTCTCAGGGGAACAGACTTAGCAGAGTGAACATATTCACTGCAAAGCAACTCCACAGGAGAGTGTAATGTAATAGGCGTTTTCTCAAGGTCTGGAAATAGGGCTATAGCACTTAGGGATAATCTTTGTATCAGTATGCATCTTTCACACAGTGGGCCATTTGGAAAAACTGGCCTGGTTGAACAATGGAGGATATTCACACTTACTGGACACAGAGAAAATGCTCAGAGAAGCATACAAGTGCTAAAGCATTTGCACTGAATATCGCACCATTTTCTCCACTGAAAGAGGGAGAAAACTGCCCCAACGACCTGGTACGGTGCCAGGATTACAGGGTCCAGCTCAAATGTAATAACAGCTGAACCAACTGAGTTCTGGATGTAAACCCCAATCAAACACAGTGACACTGGATCCTTTGCTCTTGTTTCAAATCTGAAGGTTTGATTTTGTGCCTTCTCTCCAGGTTATAAAACACCACTTTGACTAAAATCTCTATGCAATGGTGATAGTAAATGTAGCAGGTAGTAGAAGGTATCTCTATTCTAAAGCAGAGGACATGCAGAGAGTGCAGAGAGTGGAGCCATTAAATGCAATGTGCATGGAATACAATATCCAAGTTTGAGCTAATTTGTATTAGCTCAATATACCCGAGTGCAAGAGGAGAGATTAAGCCAGGTGTCGGGACAGCACGTGTTTGGCGAGCTCATATTTCTGTGGCTCGGCATTAAAATACAGTATCTGTCTGTAACTTAATCCCTGCTGTGCAGCAACATTGTCTGTTCGGCGTCCACTCAGGCTCCCTGTGGGCTCTGCGACACGTGTGCAACAGAAGAAAAAGAGCAACTCTACAGGGAGGGCAGCTGTCCTAAACAGTCGTGTCTGACGCTGTGAACATGGACGGGGCTCACGGACGAAAAAGAAGAAAAAAAAAAGAAGAATGAAATCTTTGACACGTGTTGGGACAGATCTTACCAGTAATGTTTCACCAGAAACTCCTCTGTTGTTGAAAACCACGCATCTGAAATCCACAAAACATATACCATTTTAATAATCACTGTCAAATTTAATGGGCAGCAGGTAAATGTTACATTTTGAATATATCAGATTGAGTTTGTCGACAATGTAGTGCTGTTTCTTGACATTTTATACATAATATTTGGATTTATTACTATAAAAACTAACTGCATGCTGCAAAGTAATTGTATATGTTGTACATGTGTATGTAATATAAGGAGATCAGAACTGATTAGTGCATTAAACAACCACTGACTAGCTCTTTTACTCAGCTTTCCAGAAGAAAATCCAAAGTTTACTGATAAAACATCCTCAAATGTGCCTTTGATTGGTGTAAACTAACCAACTTCAGATTTCAAACTGGCTAAATCGCTAGTAAATGGCTTATTTTTTACATTTCCTGCCAATTTCAGGGTTTTACAGTTAATCAAAAGCCTATAAAAGGTCACGTCCAAATGAAAGCAACAGCCAAAGATTTCTTTAAACAAACATTTCTTACATAAAAGAAATGAACTGTGTATACGATAAAGTGCGCAGGGAGGCACAGCTGTGTGAAGGAACTGTGTTTGTACTGCAAAGCAAAGGCATCAGCATCTCGCCAGTCATCTATTATCTGCTGGAGTCAGACCTGCTGTTTTTATAATCGGCATAACTCAGCAGCAGCAGCAGCAGCAGGGCAGAGCTGTACAGGGTGCTGGGCGAGAGGAGGGGGAGAAGGAGGTGGTGGTGGTGGAGTGCTTAAACACGCTGCAGCATACACTCGGAGGCTGGTCCGGGCTAAGCTGCAAAGCTTGTACCCGGATAAGCTGTAATTAATTAAGCTACACAGACAGGGGAGAGGGGTGGAAGATGCTGAGTTTGCCGGCTCTCTTCCCATGCCTTTCCAAATCTGTGTGAAAGAATGAGTGCAGAGAGAACATAGACAGGGCCTATTGGAGATGAAGGAAAGTGGAGGGGGAAAAAAAGTGCCTCCCTCTGCAACTCTTCAAGCTCAGGCTACATTTGGCTATTTACAAAAGCAGCTCTCGACACGGAGCTTAGCTACCCACTTTATTTGTGATTTCACCTCAAATAACCCCGAGCTCCTGTCACTCATGGACCCATTATATAAAGGTATAAAAAATCTTGCAAAAGCACTACAGAACTGGTTGCAGATTTTACTTTGCAATCATGAAAGCCTGTGAAAGTTCTTTCAATTTATTTGGACAAGAAATCTGCAGTCTGTGTGGATAGCAAATTAGAACATAAAGCAGAGAAATTGTCAGTTCTTTGAGTCAGCCAGGCTATTCAGCCAAGACCACCCACCTATAGCCCAGATCCCGGCTCTGTTGGACCATGTGTAAGATGTAGGACTCTCGGCTGGTGCCGGTCAGACCGGGGAGGAGGAGGACTGTGGGCCTGGTGGCAGGGTCGGGATGAGAAAGGCTGTCATCGTTGTCGAACCAATCCAAAGAGATCTGTCCTCCATCTGCTGCTTTAATGAGCTCACTGCAGAGACGAGAAGGACACGCAAGTCAGCAACACCGGTCTTCCTGACAATGATCACTCTGTGCGCCTGTATATATCGTCTTCTTTGTTTCATCCATTGTATATATACAGTATATATACAGTCAGACACAAACATGGGACAACACTGGTGTGAAATTTGAATTAAAAAGCATATCTGCTAATGAAATCCACTTCTTTTCTCAACACAATTAATACTTTTAAGTAACGTGATTACTTCATTGCATCCGTTACACACGCTGCTAAAGTGGGGACTGGATATGTGAGCACAACACTCACTGACAGCTGCCTCATTTCCCTTGCGAGCACCTTGTCAGCAGACTCTGCAACACACAGCAAATTCAAATAAAGAGGAGGGCATTGCACCAATGGGTTCTTATAGCTAATCAATTTCGTGGATGCACAACCCGTGCGTGGCAGATGATGTAATTCAGTCTCGGTGCATTTTTAAACCTGCTCCGCACACACAAACGCACACACGCGGCAGCCGCTGAGCCCAACTTGGCCGTCCGGCGGTTAAGAGAGACAGCGTGAAATTACAGAACGGCCATGAAATATGCACCTGAGGCGAGACTTTAAAGTCAAGAAAGGCCAATTCGGAGAAGCCAGCAGAGTCCGTGGTGCTAATCCCCAGCTATGACAACAAGCTGAGTGGAATTTCACCCAGACGGCCTACGATACATCGGACATCTTTCACGCTGTCCGTCCTTGGGTCAACCTTGTATAACTTCATTATAGGAGGAATGTCCTGCTGTCCCCAGAGGCCATGTGATAATAACTTGAGTGAATGCAACCATCAGTCTTTCTAGGTTTGATGCGGTAGCACAGACCTCCACTAGCATCTGTACACCCAGGGGCATTATGGGAGCATTTTTCTCCTTCACAAAGATCTCTGTGAAAAGCAGAGGCAGTGCCAAAGTCTCCTTGTGGCAGATTAATGGTGTACAGTTCTTAATTCTTTACCGTTTCCCTTGAATTAAAAGTCATATTTAAACAAAATCAGCTGTGGTTTTATGTAAGGAATTAAGAAAACAAGGAAAAAGAATATTAAAGATTGTATTTTTGTCTTTTACTCTAATGTCTAGTACATGGTACAGACACCTAAACATAAGGACATCAGATCAGTTGTACAGTCTACAGTTATAAACACACACACTTGGGCAAAACGCATGTACGTGAAAAATGAGGGTCTTTTTTCCCCCAAGTGAAAACAAATAAATAAATAAGTTATACATGTGTTATAATTAAAACCAAATCTGTCTTCACTCATTCTAATCTCTTATCTTGAGATATGTGGGGGGAGGGAATGCAGTGCCAATTAATCTTCAACAGAATTAACATTTTCAAGGAGCAGGCCTGGCGGACCAAGCCAGCACGGTGACACAAAGGATCTCTTTCTCCTCTGGGCTTTGGAGATTGGCAAAGAACAAGAGCCGGATTTGTTTCCAGTTGTGGCACTGGAAAGAACGACCAACAGCAATTTCTCAGTGAGCAAGTTTGATAAAGCCAAGCACAGTCAGCAGCAAAGTACTCAAAATGTTTTCCCTGACATTTAGTAATGCTGAAAGCTCTTGTGAAACAAAATTGATTCAAAGGAGAAATAAAATATAAGCTTAGAGGATGAAAGTGACAATTGGCACATCAGTCACAGCGGGGACTTACTTTCTGTAGATGACCCCCGGTTTGGCTGTGACGAAAGGTCTCAGCAGAGTCTGGATGCGGCTCTCCCAACACCAAAAGGTGGGGTAGTAGGTCTCTGACACTACTGGACATTGCTCCCTCAGAAAATGGTAGAACTTCTTACCTCCAGAGATCAGCTGTGGCTTCTGCAAAACAGACGTGAATGTAGGATGGCACAGGTTAAAATCATATAAGAGACTTCTAAGTGCTGTTATTTAGTCTTAACAATAGATCCATTACTGTAATAATAAATTTACTGTCACATGTGGTAAAGCTAAATCTAAATATATTCATTATCATCAAATCACATCTAATACAGACCAATACAGATCAAACTGTGACAGAGTTTGCTTTATGAGTGCATAAACCTAGTTATGCATGATTAATGTGCACAACCATGTTCAAGCATAACAAGCTGCTTACTTTGCATTAAGTCACGGGTGTCAAACTCATCGGCCACACATGGCCCAATATAATCTCAAGTGAGCTGGCCTAGTTAAACAACTGCTTAATAACCAACCTTTTAATGTAAAGAAATAAACACGCACACACACACAAAAAAAAATTTGCATTCCCTGACTGAGGGTATAAAAGTGGTTGCTGGAGGTTGCGGGTACTCTCCATGGTAACGCAGGCCTATAGACCAGTCACTCACCCCCTGGCAACCACCTGTAACTAGCAAAAATGGCTATAGGTATTTCTTTAGTAGCTGGTGTAGTTTGAATGGAAGTGGAAGATTTATCTACAAACACTGGCCAGCTAGTCTCCGAGCTGTAGTGAAACGGTGAAAAGTGTGGTGCAAACTAGAAACATATCCTGTTTGCCTTCAGTGCAAAAGCAGAGAGCCACAACTTCTATTTGAAGGCGAACATTCCCCAATTCCAGCTTGTGCTGCAAAACAAATATTTTCAACCATTTCAATCTGCTAAAGGTTTTCCTCTACTGAGAGCCAGCAACCTCCGGGATCCACTGACAAATAGTACCTGGTGGTTGTATCACATCGCTTATGGTGGGGAAGTCAGTTTAAAGCAATTTAAGCAACAGGTTTTATTACATTTCCATTACATGTTGTTGGGAATTGCATTACCAAGTTTAGAAAGCATTTATACGGACTGTGTGTGGAGAAAAGCAAATAACATTGTGAGTGATGAGACCTCTTCCTTTAAACTACCATCTCCACAGCACAATTACCCTCCCCCCCCTTTTCACAAAAAATAGGTCTAAACTGTCTTTTATGTCTCAAGCCATCAAACCTCTGAAAGTAGAAGAAAGTGTGTGTATATTGTTTGCTTTATGTTGATGTGATTGGTTTTTATGTGTTGTTTACAAATGTTAATCTAGGTAGTTAAATCTAAACAAAACTAAAATTAGATGTGAAAAAAACTGACTAAAATAAAATTAAATAAAATTATAAAGGCAATATCTTTAGTTTTAGTGTTTGTTAGTTTGGCAAAAAAAACCAAACAAAATCAAAACTGAAATTTTATTGAGACTTTACCACTCACAAGACTGTGAGTCACAAAAACTTAATAAAAGTTACAGAACTACAATATTTCTGGTGTATTCAAAGGTCAAGTGACTTCTGCTACAAGCAGAAATAAATAAATGCAAATTAAAAATAAAATGAACAATAAAAAATAATGTTTTTTTGGAACAAGAAAAAAACTACAGTATGTTAATCTTTATTTATGCTAAACAACTTTAGCTCTACCAACACTTAAACAGCCATACGTTTTTCATCCCTGTGTAGTACAGTGAAGAAGAAAGTGAAAAAACAAAAAGAAAAACTTATTTCCAGTAGACCGGATTGGAACCTTTGGCGGGCCGGTTCTGGCCCCCGTGCCACATGTTTGACACCACCGCTTTAAGAGATTCTGACTGGCAATTTCACAGATCCACGTTTATTTTAACCACATTTATACATTCAAACCCTAAAGTCACAGACGAAAAGCTTCTTTTTATTCATTTAGTGAACGCTGTTCGTCTCCATCCTTTTCAAATGAACGGCGGCAGCTCAGCGGGCGTTACATAACACCTTCTACCGGCATTTCTAGCTTACAGTAAAAGCTAGCCTAGCTTCCCTAATGCCGACGTCTAACTGCAGTCCTTTTCTCGTTACATACGAGCTAAACTTTAATATGGATAACACCCATTTTGAGTCTATATACGGATTAGTGTTTGCTCCGTCGCCTGACATCCGACGTACACGTGCTGCTTTGCGGCGTTATCCCTCTAGTTAAACTGATGCCAGCTAACAGACACCTCCATCCGCACCTACGCCGAGTACCATCACCAGCCCCTGACAGTTAAGATGCTTCTCCGCGAAAGAGCACACACCGCACACGGGGATTTATGTGACATATACAAGCCGTATACCGTGAAGACTCCCCACAAAAGACACAGACCCTTAAGTTAATGTCAATTACCTTCGCTACTGAGATCAAATAGTAGCAGGTGTACGCCGCGCTGAAGCCCAACACCAGAGACAGACCCACTCCCGAACCGAACAGCCCAACTTTCACTTGGTTCTCCAGGTAATGCGACAGGTCCCGAGTCAAAATGTTGAAATTTAAGTCCAGCGAGATCATTGCAAGGTCCCTGGTGTTTCAGGTACTGCGAGGACAGCGGCCAGCTCTGGTGATACGCGGCTGTGTGTGCCTGCGAGCCCACAGTGAAGGAGACAGTCAAGGGGACCCGATGAGGACAGAGATATATAGGTATCAGCGACAGGTGGCGCTCTTTGACCGGCTAAGCAGAACAGGGAACTCAGAAGCATCCCTGCACCCCCTGCAGTCCACAGACCCGCAGTGCAGCACAGGGATTGGAAAGCTGACGGTTCAGCCAAAAACTAAAGTGAAACTAAAGCTGGCGATTAAATCAATAAAAAGGTGTTTGGAAAAACAGCAGCAACATCACTGTGCACATTGACCTCCAGAAAATACACTTACTGCAGTGGAAGTACAGGGTGAAATTAATTTACTTACCAAGCAAAACAGGCAAATGCCCCAGCGGGTACACACCTCCATGGGGACCAGTGGAGGTGTTTACCTTGTGGAAATTTGTATAGTTTAATTTAATTGGAGGGGCCTTATGGCAACTGTTTTCCAATCTATTCCCACAGACAGGCAACCTGGGCTAAAAAAAATTAAATACATTATTATTATTATTATTATTATTATTATTATTTATTTATTTATTTATTTATTTATTTCTTCTTTTTTTTTTTTCAGTTTTTCACAAGTCCAAAAACAGGGAATCACTGGGCTTAAAGAGCATTTTTGATCCAAGGGCCATACAAAGGGTTAAAATCATTCAGTATATTGAATATGTAGTATATTCAGCTGGATTGGAAACCAGGGTAATCTAATCTGATTGTTTTTGGATTACCTTTAAATAAAAAACGAAATGCTGTAAATTTTTTAGAAAGATGTTTTTACTGTGAATAAATGCATTTTGTACATCCAGCTTGTACAATTGGCCTGATCAAACAGCCTTTCAAAAACAGTGCTTACACAAAGTACTGGTATATTGTATAAGATGTTGTTTTGGTGTTTTCTGTGCATGTTTATGTTCATTATTGCAGTACTTTTTACTTGCAGTACCCAATGGAAGGCTTTGCTCTTGGGACCCAAGAGAGCGATCATTTAAAGAATTTTTCTTTCATATGGAGTGTAAATAAAAAGGAACAAAATCTCCAGTACAAACAAATGTTAGATCACCATGAAAATAGCTAGCGCGCTAATAACATGAGAGAAGTTTTTGGGATAAAGTAGAACATATTCATATGAGAATTAGTCCTTTCAATTTTTAAACAGACAATTAAAAAATAATCTAATCTCACATTTTTAAATGTAATCTGGGGTGGTTAAAGTTTAATGGTTTTACAATCTGGTACATAATTTTGTATACAAGGAAAACATAAGATGATGAGTACCTGTAAGGCTGAAACTGCTTACAATGAATATGGAAGTTACCTTAAATATGTTCTAGTGTAGGTAAATGTAGTTTATCATTTTTTATTTGTGAGCTTAGTTTTCATTCAGTAATTCTTCACTATCCTATCAATATATTTGGCATTTGACTGTACAGAAAGAAAAACTCTAAAAATCATAATAAATAAATGGACAATCAATATGTGTCTTGATAACTACAGTATACATTATTACTCAGTTGGAACAATTAAAAAAGGTGCCCTCTGACTTACCCTTACGTGTTGGATCCCATTTTGTTCTAAATTCGTGTCAATTCATATGGCTGCAAAAAGCCCACCAAAAATAAAAAAACTGAAAGAACAGTGGTCTTGTATGCGGAAGTCAGGAGAGGCGCTAAAGTATGTGAGGGTGGTGCAGGACATGTATGGAGACAGTGAGTGTCCTGTGCAGTAGTAATAACAGATGTGGTCAAGTACGAGTCTCAGTACATTATGTTTGCAAATGACACTGTGATCTGTAGTGAGAGTAGGGAGCAGGTGGAAGAGAACCGGGAGAGGTAGGTACTGGAGAGATGATGACTGAAAATCAGTAGAAGCAAGACTGAATACATGTGTGTGAACAGGAGGGAGACAGGTGGAAATCTGAACGTGCATGAAGGTAAATGACAACCATCCAAAGCAATAGACAGCACAAGAGAGTCGAAGAAGAGAGTGCAGACAGGGTGGAGTGGGTGGAGACGAGTGTCAGGGGTGATTTGTGACAGAAGGGTAGTAGCAAGAGTGAAAGAAGTTTTACAATATGGTAGTGAGACCTATGATGTTTGGTTTGGAGACTGGGAGGCTAACAAAGAGGCAGGAGGCAGAGCTGGAGGTTAGAGCGTTGAAGATGTTAATGGATGGACAGGATTGGTAATTTGAGTACTTCAGAGGGACATCTCAGGATGAACAATGTGGAGACAAAGTTAGAGAAACAAAGAGGCTGAGATAGCGTGGACATGTGCAGAGGAGAAACAGCGGAGGACATCCAGAGAGTTTGTGTAACAGATGAGGATTAAAGAGATGTGAAATGAAGGCAGAAATTCAATAAAGGAAGAAGCTGAAAGATACTACTACTACTACTAATAATAATAATAACAACGATGATCATGATTGTCATTATGATTATAATTATTGTTGTTGTTCTTTACTAGTGAAATCAAATAAATTAGAATGTGGGAGAGTTTAAATTGTCATTCTGATTGGAAAATTAGTGAAGCAATTAAATGGCACTATATAAATGTTCATCACCAAAAGATTTAAAACCCTGATATTATAATATGTATCAAAATGATTGTCATGTATTAAAATTATTTCAGTAAAAATAATAATGTACAAAATGAACCCAACACGAAAACAAAATAAATAAAAACGAGGAATAATCACAATAAAAAAAATTCAAAATTAAGAAAAAAAGAATAGTTAAAGAAAAACACGTTAAGAGCATAAAAAAACGTAAAAAACAAACAAACAAAAAACTTGTAATAATCGGTAATACACGTATTATGAGTCCATATGCTCGAGCGTCTTACAGGTGCGCATGCGCAATGGCTGGACTCGCTTGTTTTCCAAGCCTCGCGTCTTCGTGCTTTATCGTCCAGCTCCGGAGCTAGTTGTTGCTTGTCTGAGCGGTGATTGACTATAATGGCGACGCGATTATTCTGAGAGTAGTCTATGGCACCGTCTCTAGCTGATAAAGGATACATGTCGGAGGGTTTTTTCTGCATCGCAGACTATAATAATAAGGACAAGCAACATCGAAAAGGAGCACATTCACCCCAGCCACAGGGAGCCAGGAGAGCTTTATCCTGCTAGCTGCGATAGCTAGCAACTCCGCTCACTAGCCTGCTAAGTTGAAGAGGTGGGATTCAAGTGTGTGGACTGGAGGAGAGGGACTGGCAGTTTGCTGAGTACTGAGATCTATCTGCACTAGCTGTTGGCTACTTTGGGGTATTAACTTCCTCACTGCCAGAGGCAACACTTGGACGCCACTGGCTCGAGGTTGATGCTAGCTTGTTGTAATAGTTTTTGGGAGAGGATCCAGAATCCTTCTTGGGCAGCTAACTACAGCTACACACAGCTAACAGGCTAGCTTTGTGGATTGTTCCAGTCTCCTTCCTGTTAGGACTTGCTCTCGCTGGCGTTTGGAAACTCTCTACCAGCGCACACATAGTTGGCTAGCAAAGAGTGCTAGCTCGGCAACTTTTAAGGATTGTTGTACCTTTGCGACATCTTTTCTTAAATGACCACCGGCAGGAATAACCGAGCCATGATGGAAGGAGTTGGAGCGAGAGTGGTTCGCGGACCTGACTGGAAGTGGGGGAAGCAGGATGGAGGAGAGGGACATGTCGGCACCGTTAGGAGTTTTGAAAGTCCAGAGGAAGTGGTGGTTGTCTGGGATAACGGGACGGCTGCCAACTACCGTTGTTCTGGAGCTTATGACGTGAGGATATTAGACAGTGCTCCAACAGGTAACTTCACATCAGCTGCCTGCTTCTGCTCGCACTTTCAGGCTGAGTTTTAGTCTCATGGAAGTGGCTTCCAGTGTAACAGAGGGGTGCTCCGTTTGCAAGCTACGGGACTTTTTAAAATGTATTCATTTTTTTGGCTTAACTTGGGAGATTTTACAGTGTGTAAGAATAACAGAGAGTTTGTGCTACAACAGTTATTGCAAGTTTCTCAGAAGCAACTTAAGAATATATAATAAGATCACCATTTGAGACGAACTACCCCATTTATATTTATATCCTGTCTGTACACAGGCAGTGAAAGCTTTGTATAGAAGGTATGAAAATGAGTCACTGTCGTAAACATGTCAGCACATATCATGACTCTGAACTTCAAGCATGATGTGGTTTTAAGGACCAATAGCAATACATGTCAATCCAATTACTTTGTTCAGTACACATCCCATTGACAGACATCCCATATCCACCCCCTGGTTAGTCACTGGATAAGGAGCAGTTTCCTGCAGTAATTTACACTGTTGATCAACCTGTAAGGACATGCTGAAGGGGAAAAGATTTTAAGAAGCTGTAAAGGAAAAACAAATCCAACTGCCAGTATATTAATAAATCCGTTTTCTTGCTCTTTTAATAGTATGAAGAATGTGTCTCTTTTTGAACTGATAGCATGCACATTGTTGGTAGCAAAGTGCAGCTAAGTTGTTGCAGTAATATTACCGATGTGTACTGTGCACATTATTATGTTTAAATTTTGACTAATTCTGCTCCGTCAGGCATCAAGCATGATGGAACCATGTGTGACACCTGCCGTCAACAGCCCATCATTGGTATTCGCTGGAAATGTGCAGAGTGCACCAATTACGACCTCTGCACAACCTGTTACCATGGAGACAAGCATCACCTGAGACACCGGTTCTACAGGATCACCACCCCAGGCAGCGAGAGGTTAGTTAATATTTATATAAAATTCTAGATTGCCATGTGAACAGAGGCGAAAAATCACATGAGACAAAAGTGTGTCACATTTTATTCCCTGCTCTCTCATCTGTATGCAGCAATCGGCCCTTTACTACAGCTGTTTTCTAGTGTAACCTAACAATATTTGCTCTTATTGTTCCTCATCGTAGACCCAACAATTATAAAGTAGACATAGAGTAGCCAGGTAATCCCTGTATTTCACTGTGATTGGTTGGTCTCCCCCTTTACACACTCTCTGTAGCTGTGTGTGTATGTTATTTGTGGGTCTTTTGTGCACCCTG